TATGAGTTTTTTGTTCCAGCCAGTTTCTTAAACATAATCCTTGAAAAGAAAACAAGGGGAGATAAGAGAAACTAGCTTCAACTAAATTATTGGTTTCAGGTTGAGGAGTGAAATAGCTGCTGGGTTGTTTATATATTCTCATATTGACTTTATGATGTTCATTTTAGCCTTGGCAGGCGTTTCTCTAGAACTGCCTTGTTTGAATGCAGTTTTCCATTTATTTTAAAGAAACACCCATTGACTGAAAAAATTCAATAGTTACAAGTAATCATAACTGTAATATTAATAAACTGGCTGATCTGGTCTGAGACCAAGGGTGGGAGGGGAGGAAAAAAAAACTGTAGAACAGATTTCCCGTGTTGGTTCCCAGTCTGAAGATGACTTCAGACCACTGAATTCAAATGATGAAGCACTACCTAAATAAGTAATGGTCACAGCACCATGTGCCAGGTTTCTGTGGTAGAAAAGCTATTAAATATTTTAATTATTGCGAAAGGAGTTTGCCTGAGAATGTTTTACATCTGTATCTGAAGACTGAGCAAAGAAAGAGATTATTTTCCTCTTTCCTCTGACTTGAATCTTGTTTCCTATGTTATCCAAGTGAGGGATATTCAGAAGGAGGAGAATTAATTGGAACAAAGACAGTCATATACATACACCTTTCTACTTAGTGTTATAATGCAGTTGTCTGTTCTTATTCATCCCGTTTTTGCCTCCAGGTTCTCACCTTTGTGGTTTGTATAAATTTATCTCTTTCAGCGAAGTATAGATTTTGCCTATTTTTTCTTGTGTGCTTTTTTTTTTGTTTTCATAGCAACATTTTTATTATATATATATTTATTTATTTATTTATTATGTTTGTGAGCCCATTGTCCCTAAGGGAAATCTCAGAGAATTGATAATTGTCTGTATTGTATTCTTTACAGCAATATACACGCTTAATTTTCTTCTAAGGTGGTCAGTGTGGCAGATTGGGAGGATAGTTAGGACATCATTTTATTTCCTCCCATCTTTTCCTTTTGAAAGAAGAGAGGAATGGGGAGGTAAGGAATTAAAGAAGAAAAGATAGAATTAAAGGATGGCGTGTAACTGCAGTTTTGTTTCATCTTTCATGAGTAATACAGCTTTTCTGTGTGTGTGAAACTTTCTATGGTAGTCACTGTCTTGAGAAGAACTAATTGCTGGGTTTCCAGAGGATCAAAGGTTTTCTTCAGGTTAGCGACTAGGGCTTTCATGCCGTTGGTTTTTTTTTGGTTGTTGTTGTTGTTGTTGTTTTCTTCCCTCTCTCCTTCTTCCAAGACTTTTAACAGTTGAATTCAAGTAGTTGGGTGTCATCCCTAGAGAGCAAGGCAGACTAGGACAGTGGATCATGTGTGGTGGCTGGTGCAGGACATTGGCAGCTTTCTCTTCAAGCAAAAGAGCCAAGGGAGGAGTTTGCCCGAAGGACGCAAATCTCTGTACTCCCATGGTAGCCAGTGTCTCAGTCTTGCCCATCACATTCCAAGGTCCGTGGAAAAATGCAGGTAGAAGGAAAAGAGAGTGGACAGGTACCTCTTCTTGCTCCCACAGTTACCCCCTTCCTAGCAAGGACGGGACTGGAATCAACATATGTATGTGACCTACTACTCTATGGAGCTCTTCCTAAACATAAAGGCTGCCTGTCCTTTCTGCTAGTTGTGAAAAATATGGGGCTGTTAATAAGTGTTGGAATTAGCTGGCAAAGTCTGACCTAAGGAAGATGGAAGTTCTTCACGTATGACATTAACCTGATACTTTCTTAAGCCTGATTTGCCATCTGATTGAAATTGGTATCAAATGCTATTCAGCTGCATGTGTTCTGCACCCATACAGAACTTACATGCTTTGAGAGAGGCAAGAAGTAGAGCATTTCATTGCGTATTGCATGCTTGCTGGGGTTTTTGTTTGCTTCTTTTGAATGCATGCCAAACATTAGGGAATATCAAAGCCATAGACATATAAAGTGCAGAAGGAGGATTGGGTAGGTCTGAATCTACCTTCCATGAGTGTAAGGAAATTTCTGCTGTCTTGAAATTCACGGGTTTCAGAACAACATCAATTGTGAATACAGCTCATTGTTTATATGGATGTGCTGAGATATGCTGAATACTTCTTTAAGTCTTTGTCTGAGTGTTTTCTGCTAAGCAAATATAAAAGAGCAGGTTTGCCAAAAGACACAGTGGTGAGAAGGCAGCAAGGATACCAATTTTCACAATATTCGTTCTCTTTTTACCTCTCAGCACAGAGATGAGGATATGTCTGTAGGCTGAAAAAGGATGCTAAGAGCCTCTTCATATTATGTCTACTAACTTTGCATAAATGACTCTGAATATGAACTGTTTTGAGTTATTTTCCTTGTTTAAAATGATTAACATAAAACACACTTTTACATTTTTAAAGTCTTTAAAATATTCTGTTCCGTATTGAAGAAGGATGCTTGGTGTTCTGCTCTGCCAAATCAGCATATGTGAACAGGTTAATCTCTCAGTATTTGTAATTACTGAAGTGGTTTGGATTGCTATATACTTAGAGATGATGTCAGGGTTTAATACTAAGTAGAGAAATTACTTCAAACTTGTTGTAGTTGAGATCATTTCAATAAAGCTCTTGCATTTCACATCTTTTCCAGTAGTCATAATAAGCCGGAATTTTATGATTCGTTGACTACCTTACGTATTTGTTCTTCCAGAGATTGCCAGGAGACTGATGTGTAAACAGAGATGTAAATATATACTTGCAGATGGGTGATTGTTTGAGCTTGCACAATAGGGCTGAATCATGTGAATAGGTCTCCTTGCTCTGTGCCGTGGACTTAACAAATGCTGCTCACAAGTGCAGCCCCAGAGCACATAGAGCTCTTTTGCACTCATTAGAGCATGTGTTTTTCTGTACCCAAACATTTTCTATCCTCAGTGTAATCTCTAAACTATTACTTTTCAGTTCACAGGCCCATGATGGGTATTAAAAAATTATCAGATTCATGATGTCAGCAACTGATGCTTGTCTTCTAATGTTCTTCATAATCCAATAAAGTAACTAGGCTTTTATTTAATGCATGTGTGAGAGAATGGGAAAGGAAAGAAGACTTTTACAGCACTTAAGCTATTCTTACTGAAATTTGTTTCAGGCATTCTTCCATATCCAAGCTTAGGTTCTTCTATGTAAGAGGTATAGCAGTTCCCAAAATTGCTGTATGAGTCTGAGTGTTTTAAAGGATAAAGGATAAAATACCCTAGAATTCAGCAGCTGATCACACAAGTGCCAGTTCCCATATGTTCAGAGATATGGGTATGGAACAAAGCAGGGTATATATTCAAAGGGAATTGGTACAAGCACATTCCGAAGTTGAACTTCCCATTCAACAGTTTTCAACATAACTTCTAATAGTTTAAAAAAAACCCCATTTTTATCTGAGTTTGAGAGTCCTGTCCCAAGATCACAAGTGTAGCAACAGTTATGAAATAACTACCTGAGAATATTAGCAGCAGCCATGGCACTGCAGACATCTGGGCATTATGTGCTGTGTGCATCTACTAAGCAAGGCTAATTCCAGGCCAGATTTTGTGCAAAGGTGATGGTATGAATTAGACAGGAGATTGTTGAAGACTTGTTTTTCTACGTGTCCAGTCATAATTTCTCCTGTGGCAGCTTTTCCATGGCTTCCCATGATTTTGCTGTGCACCTATGAGAAGAATTGGGCCCTGTCTTCTCTGTAATTTCTCATTAAGCAGTAGGAGACAGGAGGCAGATCCTGTCCTTTGCCTGCTCTTCAGGCTGTACAAGTGCAGTTTTCTCAGCCTCCCCTCATGCATCATGTGTTCTAGCCCCCTAACCATCTTGGTGGCCCTCCCCTGGGCTTGTGTGGATTTGCCAATGACCATCTTTGACTGAGTTGCCAAAAACTGGACACAGCACCTCGGTTGTGGTCTGCCAGTGCCAACTAGAGGGCAAGGTGACGTCTCTAGACCTATTGATTTTGTTCTTGCAGCACATTGTGCGATTATTCTTCACCACTTCCCTCTTCATCACTCACTTTCAGCTGATCCCCCTGGACCTGCAAGTCCTTTTCTGCAAAGCTGCTTTCTATCTATTTAGTGCTTGTACACTGTTGTGTAGAAGTCCATGAATGATTGAACAGAGCTAGTCCATCCCAAGCGCAGGACTTTGCCACTGGCTTAGGTAATGTACTAGCTGGGGCAACAGACTGTTTTCGTCTAGCTCCTACTAGAGTCTGCATGTTTTTGTTGTTTAGGGGGAAAGTTATGCATTTAGTATCCATTCAAGGCTAAATTCTAAAATTCTTGCTTTATCTTCACCCTTCAGACAAGGAAATTCTGTTCTGGTTTTATTTCGAGTGGTTTAAGAGGCATTACCTCAGTGTCAAAATCAACAAAATGTTAGAAAAACGCCTTGCACCAAGTGCGTAAATGCATATGTGCAAACAATAGTTTGTATTTCGTCAATTGTCTATAGTGAAATTTTTGCATGAAACCCTAATTTATATACTTGTTGAACTGGAAGTGCAAACAATAAAGGTGGCTCAGCACATCAGAGGCAATACATGTGCCCTTGAAGGCGATACATACGTACAGCACTTAGTCTTTCCAGCATGAATGAGTGAAGCTGCTTGTTGAAGGACTAAATGTCTGCTGTAAAATGGGAAATCCCCATGCCACCTGTGTTCTCCTGCTAGTTCCCTATTCTTTTTCTCACTCTTAAAATCTTGTGAGGTTAAGTATTCTCTGTTGATTAAGTAAATGCAGAGATTGTCTTGTGGAATAGCTAAGGGCACATCAAGAGGAGAAGTAGGCAGTGGCTGTGGGCTCCATTTGGGGCAGGAGGGAAGGGCGAGGGTGGAAGCGCAAACGAGGTCTTACTGGCAGACAAAGGCAGGAACAGGATATGTTTCAGCTTGGGTGCCTCTGGGAGGAGCAAGGCTTGGGATTAAAGTGTCCTGATGAAACGGCTCCTGTTCTTTGCAGACGCAGCCCGCGACTTCCACGGGGTGGAATTCCTGCCAGAAGATCACCTCGAGGCCCCAAGCAAGACGGGCATGAGGATGAACGAAAAATACTCCTGCCTGCCTGATGAGGACAAGGGGATACACATCATCAACATCCGAGCTATTGAGGATATTGGCTATGTCCAGCATGAAAGTACAGTGAGTAAAGGGCTTGCCACCTGTGCAAGAGCTGACATGCTCCGCGCTGCTCCATGCCTCATTTCTCTTTGCTTCCACTCCCAGGACGCTCTAATATCCTCTCCCTCCCTTCTGCAGAGTTAATGAGGAAGATTATCTCCTGTCACCATATGCACTAATTTAGTGGGTTTTGTGGCTTCATGGTTGAAGCAGGAAAGCAAGGGCTCCTGTTCAACCTGTAGTCTAAAATGGAGTTAATTGGTCTAAGATGAAGTAATCTGGCACTAAGTCTGTGGTAGCCTTTAAATCTCTTTGTCCATACGGAGTGTTAGACATACCCACGTCTGAAATGCCATGCAAAAGCTATTGGTAACAAAGGCATCACTAAATGGATAGTGATAGTGTACAATAGTAGTCTTTTTCTCACATAGCTTTTCACTATTATTAATTGTGCCCTGGTTAAACATTTCACCAGGAATACTAAGAAAAACCATTGACATGAATGCCAACGTGATTAGGAGTTGGTTCTGCCATAAACATGTCAAAATGAATTTATTCACGTGAAAGAGTTGAGATGGAGTGGGCTATGTGGGACCTTGCTGAAGAATATATAACAGAAAGGCAATACTTTCCATGTCATAGGAATTGATGATTAATTAGGATTGAGTGGGGAGGAGTAGTGCTGTCAGAACATAAATATTCCTCTTCATATTTTAAAATGAAAATGCCCTTTCTGTGTCTTTCCTTTGCAATTGGAAAGATAGGGGCCTTGTATGGTCTAAATCAATGCCTCTTTATAGATCTCAGTGCAGCAGCACTGTAAGAAAGGATGTGGCTGGTGAGTACCTTTCAGTATTAATACCACATCCTTAAAAAAAAAAAAACCCTCATCATTATTTATTTAAAGTAGGGCTGACAGGCTTCTTTGGAATCTTCATCTGTGGGTTATAGCTATTCTCATATTAATAAATTAATAAATTTACTGACATTATATCTTTAAAATTACACAGTTTCCTAAATGTTCTCTCCCAAGTACTTGGTGCATCTCTTTTGAGGGTCAGCTTTTCAACAGGAAACTCCAAAGAACTGCAAAGACCCTCATTCAGACTCTGCAGTGTGACCTACCCTCTTCCTGGTGGTAATGGCTCAAAGAAAGCGAGAAACTAAAAAGGCTTTTAATGCTGCTTTTTTCAGCCTCCACCAAAAGAGTGCTCCAGGACAAGAAAAGTCATGGCCAGAATGTACTGATCTCCCTGAACAATTATAAACATCTGGCAGACTTACTGCTGTAATCTTCAAGAGCCATCTTCAGTCCCGTCTGCTCCTGTGATTTATTGCTCTCCAGAATAGACTTACTAATTGGTGCCGACTGTCCCTCCTGAAGGCAGGCCAGTGAGGAAAGGAAGTGCTTGGGGTCCAATTTGTTTACCTGTTTTATCTTCTTGCTGAACATCTTCTATCTGAACATCTGTCAGTTAAGCCTAGTTGTTCAGAAACTGATTTTAACTAATAAGATCTACACATCTTTTTAGAATAAGTGCAGTGTTTTTTCTTAAAAAAAAGTTCCATATCTTGCTTAGAGCTGCTGTTCATTCTGCTGCTTTGTTGAAGCTTCATATCCTGAAAATCCAATTAGTTTTTATTTCCTAATATTTTCTTGCTATAACAAAATGCACAACTGAGCTGCCTTGCTGCAGGAAGGCAACTTTTTAACTTTAGTTTTTAACTTGCTTTAAAAATGTTGTTTTAAAAAATAGGATTTTCATGAATAAATAAGATATCCATAAGGGGGTAGATGCTCACCTGCATCTGGGACTTGTTGCCCCCTGTCTCACTCCTTCCCCTGGTAACGTGGCAGGGAGAAGAGCAGCAGAGCCTGTCCCCAGAAGAAAGGCAGGGATTTATTGTTGTGGTGGCTGGGATGTGTCCTCCTCAAGGCAGCATTTGGAGATGTCTGCCAGGCTTGTGTAACCTTAGGGTGATATTGTGTTGCTGCGAGTGGAACCTGCCCACTGGCACCAAGGCTCGTGTGGACTGAAGGTTACAGGACACGCTTTTGAGGAATGGGGTGGAGAGGGCACAGCGACTGCTAATCTGGAAATATATGACTTCTCATTTATCAGAGCTTATCGTTTCATATTATTTTTATAAGTTCAGTGGATGCCATTTTGGGCATGTTGGGTTTGATGTGCTGTACAGTATCATCCTAGGTTGCTCTTTTCATCTGGGTTTTAAGAATTGGACTTAGCCACAGCTATTTGCAAATAACCTGCACCCACGTCTTCAGTTACAGAGTCTATGTATCCCAAATGTATTTTGACCAGTATGACTTGCAACTGGTAGCCAACGCCTGTTACTTGGAGCCAAAGTCCTTTTTCCCTATATAGAGGCTTAAAATTCTCTGTGAAAATAAAAGCCAGATATTGTCTTTGAGCTCTGAAAAGTCACTGCAGCCATGAGTATTTAGTGTAAAAGCAGATGTAAGCCAGTAGTCAATTTTCACTCTTAAAATGGCCATACATCTTCAAGGATATTGGGAATCCTGAATGAAAGGTGTTACTGGATGCAAACCTCAATATTTATTTTTTTTTTTTTTTTTTGCATTTCTACAGTTATCCTGTGTTGTTTTCAGATAAATCCTTGAAAATCATGTTGTGTTTTAAGCCTTACTTTACTTGCATCTTGCAACATAGCAGAGCAAACATACAGAGCAAAACTCAAGTCTGGAATAAAGCATTTGCCACCATCAGACTGCAAAGAGACGTGGCTTTATAAGAGGGGAAGAAAGTGATGAACAGAGAGCAATGAATCCCCTTCCCTGGCTGCAGCCCGTTTGCATTTTTTGGCTGTGCGTCATGACCAGCTGGCTCCCCTCAGTCTGCTTCTAAACTGATCTCTTTCTCAGATGATACAGGCTCGCAGCTCTAGATAAGAGAAGTGAGAAGCGCTTGCACATGATATTAATCTATTTGTCAGCCTTGAAGCACAGATGTCAGGGGTGGAAAAGGACAGATGATCTTAGTCGTGATTAACCCACAAAGGAGAAAACCAAACCTACCAAGGAGCTGACTTATGAACTAGCATGCTGGTAATTGAATTAAGTCCCAGTCATTCTAGCTATTTATTCCTGGCCAATAAAATCCTGGGTGTCTAAGCAGTAAAATTGCAGGTGTTAACTTGCAAAATTGTTGGGAGGAAGTAGCACATGGGGGCTCCTCCTGCGTGTTGGTGTCTGAAGATGGGTCACTGCGTGCTCATGGCAGTAAGGAGTACCTAACAGAAATATTTGGCTTGTTTGGTGTCTCTCAGCACGTGCACTAATTATTCTTTCCCTCTCTCCTCTCCACACATTCCCTGGCTTCTAGTTGTTAAATTCCCTCTCTAGAAATCCAGATGCGGACTGCAAATATGGACTTTACTTTAGAGATGGCAAGAGAAAAGTGGATTACATTCTGGTTTATCATTACAAGAAATCTTCAGTGGGGAGGACGCTCGCTCGGAGAATTCATCACAATGATTCAAGTGCCCGGAGCAACAAGCAGGATCAGCCCCTTCCTGGGAAGGGAGTGCACCTGGAGATGGAAAACGAGCCTCATGTAGACTACCATGAGGATGACAAGAGGTTTCGCCGGGAGGAGTATGAAGGAAACCTCATGGAGGCTGGTCTGGAACTGGAACGAGATGAGGATGTAAGGAACCAATTCCAGTGGTTAAACGCAGGGGAGATGACTAATGGCCAGATTCTGGGAGATGCAGAGCAGTTGAATGGCTCTGGCCCAAGGGGCAAGGGCTCAACCCTGCCAGGGCTTGCTTTCAGTCTGGTGGTGTTGTCCAAGAGTTGTTAAAATTTCCTTCCTGGGAATACCCCAGCAAGGTGATGTTTCTTGCCTGGCAGTCTGCTTGGCTGGGGCAGGTTGTGGCACATCTGCTATTGCAAAACCGGTTTTTGACATTTATGGTGTCTAAAAGTGAAGCTTAAGTTGCACTGGTATAAGTCACTTTGCCGTATGCTGTGGTTTGGGTCCACTGGTAATTCTCATTTTGCTGAAAAGTTTGATAAAGACATTGACATTTTTATACCTCAATTATAGCCTTCCAAAGAATGAAGTCTGCTTGAGAGGTTTTAGTAAATGTTTCAGTTTAAGTGCAGGTATCTGTGTTAAAATTTGTCTCTGCATTCCTAGACACCAGTGATACAGTCCACCTGAACCCCCAAAACAGCATTTGTACTATTAAAAGACTGTTAGATTATACAAAAATGGTGTGTGAAGTTCTGCCAGTGTGTGATTAGTAGAAATAGCTACAGCCATATTCATTTCAAAGGAAGCTCTTGTACTGAAATGATCCAACCGATATGCCTGGATTTATTGACACAGAGGGTAAACATTTCTGTTAGTTTTATTAAACAGGATCTTCAAGTTAAGATTAAACACCCACATATAGGATCAAAGTATATATTTAAAAAAAAAAAAGTGTTACCTTCACAAGTAACAAATCCAACGGTGCAAAGTAAAATACTTGCACTTCTTGTTCCCAGATGTCAGAAAGTAGTTTTTGTTTACAAAACTTGAAAAGTGTTGTGGTAGGTTGGTGTCAAGTCATAGAGATCTAAAAATATTTACAAGATGGGAAGGCCCCACCTGTGACAAGCAGTATGATTTCAGATGTTGCAGAAGGCTTCTGAGTTCATGCCAGGACACCATAAACACCCATCCTAGGGAACACTGGCTTTTCAGGACAGGATATCAGAACAGATCAGAAATGTATGGAGATCAAAGCCCTGGGATTTGCAACAGCTTCTATGTCCAGCATGTCAGCATGGAGAAAAAGCATACGATCAGTTGAGCTCGAGAGGCATCTCATGAGATTGCACTGGAGATTTTGCTCGTTGCAAGAAGAGTTTACTAAGTCGCTTAAATTCTCTTCAGTGAAGTAAATTCAAAAATGTTTTGAAAGCTGTGCTGTGTGTGAGGGTGGCAGGTATTTGTGGCCTCCAAGCAATGAATTTCTAGAAAGAAAGTGCAGAATATTGGCGTCTGAAGAACAGTTATAATAACTTCATCATTTGTGAAATATCAAGATTAGGAAGTTTAATTGAAGTTTCTAACTCTTGGTTTGGTGAACGCCTGCTAGTTTGGTGTCACTTGTCCAGTGCCTTTGAAATGGTTACTCCCCTGAGGCTGGCAGCAAAGTACAGGTAGATTGGGGCATGATGGAAGCAAAATCCCAGTGCCCTGCTCCTGAAGCAGAGCCCAGGTGAGTCTTAGGGTCCAAGGATTCAGGGATTTGCAGGATTCTGTTAGTACTATTATTTTTTTTCAATTCTTCCTCCAATTTTCCCAGTTAAAATGCTAATGTTTTAACATAGCTATTCCCACCTGCATATGAAGCAGCTTTTCTCCTTTTTTAATGCAGTTGTGATCCTTTGAGATATGGGCAACTTAGGCAAGTAGAGACTTTCTCAACTCCATTAATTACAAAGCACTCAAGAAATCATAGTGTTTGGCTGTGTGCCTACGATTCAGATGTAACTGCGTGAGTCTATATTTGTGTCCATAGACATTAGTCTCTGCTTCCCGAACAGTTTTTATCTTCTCTGTTTAACCTTGTGATAATTGTTTTGGAAGACAATGGTATTTGTGATGGGAGCATTTTATAACCAAAGGGAGGTGTTTGGTGATTGTCCCTGTTGTTGGAAACTAGAGTTGTTTCAAACAAATGTCTGCAATGGACCCTTTGTTCCTGGAATATGGGTGTAACACCAGGGGGAGGAAAGCATTTAATTTTCTTTTATCAGTAGTATTGTCACTTTTTCTCTTCACTTTTTTTTTTCCTTTTTTTAAGACAAAAATCCATGGGGTTGGATTTGTAAAAATACACGCACCGTGGAACGTGTTGTGTCGGGAGGCAGAATTTCTTAAGCTCAAGATGCCCACAAAAAAGGTGAGCATTCTTTTTTTTTTCTCTTTTCTCTTTCCCCCTCTCCTCATAACCCCCACAAAGCATAGTTCAAATGTCCACTTATCTCTGTGCACCTAACAAATGTACTCTTATTCCCACAAGCATTTTAAAAATAGTTAACTAATCTTCACAGGCAATCTGGCAAGAAGGTCAGCATTCCTCTTGTATTTAATGAGAAAATGAGATGGAGTCACTAAATTAGCTCAAAAGAAAGAAATAACTAGAGGTAGGAGTGGATATCCAGAATTCTTGGCTCCATCTGTATATTGCACCGTTTTGCATGTACCTTTTGGTAAATAATTTTCTTGCCCATAAGGCTGAACTTCTGAAAATGAATGCAAGCGTAATACTTTTGTGTGCTCTGGATTTAGAGGACCATTCATATATGTCATTAGTCATGTTTGCAAGGTTTAGGACTATGCTACCACAAAATAAATTACCTTTCAGAATATTTGAAATATCATTAAAGAAACTGTAGCATATTTTCATCAGAGGCTAAATTCTCAATCATCTGTGATAGATAGCTGCCTGTTCGATGAGCCTAGCTTGGATTAATATTTAATGACATACTAAGTGCATGTCTCAGACTTCAGAGAGAAGTCTATAATGGAACAAGAGACAGTCTCAAAGCTCGATGTCATTTATTACAAAACTAAAACTATGCTTTTGGTTTGGATTTTAAAAATTATGTCCATTATTAACTTTCTTATCACCAGCTGTGATCAGAAGCAAAATTAAAGAAAACCAAAAATCTGTTGTGCTCCTGCAGTTAAAGCTGTTTTGCCCCAGAAGAGGGGCTAGGGTGGGCGTTTTGTCCTCTACTGAGCCTTCGTTCATAGCCCAAGAAAAGCATGATGTGGGCCTGGTGCTGTGCCTAAGAGCCAGCTCAGACCTAAGGCCTTACCCCATGGTGAGGGCCCTGCCTGCAAGCTGCAGGTATTTGCAGGAAAGCCCCCAATACATCAGAGAGGTGACATCTTCGCTGGCTTTGCGTGGTATGTTAGGGTACCTTCTGCCCTTGTCCCAGGAGATACTAAATGCTAGAGGAGCTGGTGTCTCAATGTCATATAGAGAGTTTGCCTCTGCAGAACCCCAAACTACTTAGTTGAAAGTGAGCATGTAGTCTTGGAGCAAGATGCCTTGGCTCAGAACACACAGACTTCTTGTGTTTATCTCAGTTTGGCTTTTTCAGTTCTTTCTTCTTGTGTGTGTGTGTGTGTGTGTGTGTGTGTGTTTCTAAATGTCTTTTAAAAAAACAAAGCTACACTTCTCATTGCTTTGTTGTATTTGTTCAATTGATGTTTAATTCCTTACAGCTCATTCTCTTTTATGGATGGCTTGAAAATAGTAAAGTGTTTTTGTTTGTTTGCTTTTTTCCCTGTTTATTTTTACCCACTCAGATGTATGAGATCAACCAGACCCATGGTCTTCTGAAAAAGATTAATTCTGTCATTCAAAAAATAACAGAACCCATCCAACCCAAAGTAGCTGAACACAAACCACAGACAGTGAAACGCCTCTCCTACCCATTCTCCAGAGAGAAACAACACTTGTAAGTGAAAGCTTCACTATTCATGCCAACACGTCAGCCTTTCTGATGTCAGCTGAGGTAGGAAAAGGCTACTAGCCTGCAAACCAGATTTAATAAAATAAGGTGGTGTATAATGATCTTTTTTGCTGTAAAACAAATTTCTCAATAAAACTGGTAGGCAGTAGAACAGGCTGATAAATTTAAGAAGAATCTTATTCATCTTGTACGAGTGCTCACCTGGACAAACCAGGCTTTCTCTTTATATGCAGTATGAAATCCATGGTATCTTTGTCGACTGGTTTTAATGATTAGGTCGATAGATCTTTAAATGTTGGCATAAGGCAATATCCCCACCAAAGCTTTGCCTGCCGTGGGTTGCTTTGCTGCTGTTCTTCCTTGGAGAGCCTCCCGGAGAAGTTTTGAAGACTGTGTTTATGTGTGTGTCAGCTAGAACAAATAACTGTGCTGAGGCAGGATTTCCACACTGTCCGTATGTTTTGTTTTTGTTTTTTGCTTTCAATGAGGGGACATAGAACACTAATGGAGCTGTGAACTGGATGCATGTTAGAGGGGCCAGTCAATGCACCTGACATTTCACATTCTCAGATTTGCAGGAAAGAAATGCATGTTTGCCAAGTATGGAATGTTCCTACAGTAAGCCAGCCTGGTGTCTCAGAGAAAGCCCAAATGATGCTCCTTAGCTTAGCCTAGGGCATGGCTTACATGGTGTCTAGCGCTGGCTGTGTTCAGTGCGGTCCCCTCTGCATCTGAAGGAGGACAGAGTGGCCTCGCAGGACTGCAGGTGCAGCCTGGGTGATGAGGCAGCAGTGGCAGGAGTTCGGCTTAAATGAGCAACAACAGCTTCTTTTGTACAGAAATTCTAAATAGGTGAAACAAATTAGCAGCCTCTTTAAAATATGAGTGTTGAGGTAGACTTCCTTTGTAATGAGGCTTTTACAAGATATTCTTTAATGCTTAAAATTAAGGGATCCCCAGAAGAGATGAAAATACTGAAATGGTCAACAAGAGCAAGAGACTGCTGACTTTTTTTTTAAACCTAATGAGTTTCCTTCTAATCTTTTAACAGATTTGATTTGTCTGACAGAGATTCCTTTTTTGACAGCAAAACTAGAAGCACTATAGTAAGTACTGCATATAAATAATTTATGGTGGGTAGTGTTAATCATGTTATTAATAGCCCCTTTGACAGCTTTAATACAAGCCCATTACAAATTTGTCTGTCCTTACCAAATGCCAGGAATTGCCTGTAGCATCAATTATTTAAACACTAAGAAAGCATCTCCATCTCTAGCTGGTATGATGAATAATGTTTGATATAAACAGGCTGCCACCTTCTGTAAACCAATGTGGACCTTTATAATTTCCAATTAACTTGGGCGTAGTTTCCTAGTAGAGATATTACTAGAAATGAATAGATTTAGAGTCTACCACTGTTTCTGTCAATAGCTAACTGGAAAACCAACTGGAGACTTCTGTGTCTTGATTACCATTTTGCAAATATATATATTTTTTTAATAAAATGCTATGAATTTCCACAACAGAAAGCTCAATGAAACAGTCAGATAGTAGCAGAGGATAATATTTAGAATTTCAAATCCAATTTGTCTTAGAGAATGATGTTAAATGTGTTGAGGTTTATGTGTTAACATAAAAATTTACAGTAAGCAAACACTACAAGAACATAAAAATGCAGCTTGTTCTGATTATGTATTGGTATATCTGTTGAGTTATATTATGTTAGCTTGCATGATGTCCGCATAGTTAGGGCTATCCTCCTCTTGGAGGTTCTATCACTTCGTTGAATGCTCATACAGGACTTCTCTCATCATTAAACTTCTGCAGGTCCCTTAGGAGTGAAGCCTAGTACAGCAGTGTTGTATCAGAATTTGAATACTTTCTTATGACTTATAGAACATAAAATAGAATAACATTTAGTCTCCCCTCTAGCTGCTGAGGGACTAATGGTAAAGAAAGCTCATGTGATGTCCAGGGGAGCTGGAAGGGACTATGCCAAATGTAGCAACTTTACTGCAAAGTGAAATATGGGCCGTTTGTCCCATTTGTCTGCTGCTGACCAGTGCATAGGAAGGTGCCGGGGAGTGTGCTGTTGTCTTGTTATTTAACTCTTCTTTCAGATACTAAGTGGTTTTGAGAAGAGCTTGTATCATATTATGGCTCTTATTCTTCTAGTGATGACAGCTGCAAGATTTCTACCTTCTTTTTCCTCCTTTGAAGCTGCAGCTTGCAGGCCACAAGGGTATAGCTCCCCTGCAGCTTAGATGCAGATTATCATAGCTAGGTGAATAAAAAGTTTGTAGGCTCTTTATTTGTAGACTTTTAACAACTTAAATTAAAAGCCTCAAAGGAGTATGTCCTAATCAGAAACTTCAGGGAGGAAGTGAGGAGTTAAAATTCATGAGAACAAGCTGTTCAAGGAAGGCAGCAAGGCAGAATGGCACTGAAGAACAAGGGTGAGCCACTTGTGCTAACTGGACGTAGGACAGAAACACAGGACCTAGGAGCAGAGGCCAGGAAGGAGTTGAGGAATTGCTTATTTATTGATTGATTTAAGCACTACAGGAATGCTGGCACATAGCAATAGTATGTTGCTTCGTTGGAAACACCTGTAGGCAACCCAGTAATAAAAAGCATGTTGAGTGCTTCACAGCATCACTTCAGTTTGCATGCATTTTTCTTGCTATAGTTGTTTCTTAAAGTTTTCTTTTTTCCCCTGCCTTTCCATTATGTGTTTTTTAAACCACAGTGCAAATATTGGCTCTTCCACCTGCTGCAAAATGAACAGGAACCTGGTCACTCCCTATGAGTCTGTGGAATAGAAACTCAGCCAAAGACCTTTTACTTATAAATATATGTTTATAATAATGTATATATGTAATATATAATAGAAATATATATGTAATGTATAATAATGTAATATTTATACATATAATTGAAAGCATCTTTGTGACAGCCCTTTAACTCACTCAAGTAAAAGTTATCTCAAGTTTTGTTATCTTTATAAAAGATAACAAAAGGCACGTGAGGAGGATGAACAATGGCGATTGCCCTGCAGGCACCAGTTGCTTCCCCCTGTTTTGCTGGCCCGTAGCTGAGTTGCCATGTAGCTGGAAAGGCAAGAGGGTTTTCCCTCTTCTGTCCTTATCCACTTGATCCGAAGTGGCACATGCTTTGGATAAGCCAGAATAATGAGCTTCCCTGTTTCTGTGGGTCTCCAGGCAGTGGAGACAGAGGGAAGGCTGTGCATCTGCTTGCAACGGGCACCTCCATCAGCTGCCCCTGGTGCAGGCGCCGTGGCCTGAGAGCACATCCCTTCAGCAGCACAGCACACAGCGAAAGTTTAACCACTCGGGCAGAGTGATAAAACGTGCAAAGGTTATTTGGCAATAAACAAAATAAATTGTAAGATAAACATATCTGTGTTGCCACTGTGATCATGCAAAAATTCAGAGATTTTAAGGTCGACATGTTTTATTTAGTCCAGTTTTTTGATAAAATGCTGCATGCTTAGAGATATGCATAAAAATGCTAGGTCCAAACCGCTGGCAAGGAGATGTGTTTAGCTCTGTTGCAGTTGGTGGAATGGAGCCAACTTGCACCATCAGAGGCAAGCCCGGCACACCACTTAGGAACAAAAGCCTGATCCATCTGGAAATGCATTTCTGGGCTTTGACTGATACTGTGTCTAACAGGAGTGAAATACCCATCTCTATTAATTAAATGGTTAAACTTAATCCTTTGTCTCGCAAAGAAATGACAATCAGTTATATTGGTTCCTGGCTGTTTAGTTAAGCCTTTCTCTTTTGTACCATACCGTGTATGGAAAGCTTTAAACCCTGCTATCCTGAATGTCATGACTTTTATTAAAGAATTCTGACTTCATTAACATCTTGGTTTTGCCAATATGAATACTTGAGCTGTACACAGAAAGATTTTGCTTTTTGTTGGCAGTATCTGAAGTAACCCTTTCCTTTCTCATTTTATTTGTGTAGGTTTATGAAATATTGAAAAGAACGACATGTACCAAAGCAAAATATAGCATGGGTAAGGAGTTTTATTTAGGTTTAAGATTGACATCTTTTGAGATATTGAAAATAATTTCAAGTTGTGAAGTTTAGTGTTTTCTTCTGCTGTCTAGTTTGATGTATATGGATACATTTGTTTTATTTAGAAATGTAGTCTAAATAATACGACTAATTGGAATTCTTTTCAAGTGTGAATACAAATGCAACTCTAATCAAATGGTGAGAATAGGCCCTGTAGATGTTAAGTAGGTCCTTTACAGCAGGACTGGTGATAATATAAAACTATAAATTCCATCTTAGGAAGCAGATAATGTGTTTTGCATTGGTTTGGTTTTACACTCACTGGAGTGGATGGGAGCGTTACCATAGATTTCAATAACTGCAAGGAAAATCAGTTGATTGGTTCAGTTCGTTCAGTAATGTCCTGAAATTTTGATCACAGGTTGTTTTTGCTATCTCTTGAGTGAAGAAGTCCTAACAAGTAACTTGTTTGAAAGCCCACCATTTTAGATGGAACTATAGTAACCAGCAGAACATCTAGGGAATGAGGTGACCCCTCAAATCTGAGTGATCTCTTAGCTCCTAATACTGCTATTGCAGATTGGTGGATAAGAAGTTTTTACTGCCAAGACCCAAAGCTGTAGGATTTCAGCCTTAGGCCTTGAGTTCTAACAGGGAAATTTTTACTAATGTCAAAAAATCGGTCAAAGGCAAAAAATTGGTGAGTCAAGTCACCTGAAAGGATGACTTTTTCCTATTCAGCTGGTCTGCAGTTTAACTTAAATCTATTGCGAGTTGTAGGTATATATTAGATTGTGCCATCAAAGTTAACATAGTTAATAATAAACCTAATTATGTAACATATTACATAAGGCGGAAGGCTGAATTCCCTTATGTCCAGTCTTAACTGCAAACAAACAGTATAAACCAGTGTGGATGAGAAAAATGCATGAACGTGCGAGAAAGTATTTGAAAACTTGGGATCTGCTAGTGTTTATTTGCCTACAAGCAGTTAAATAAAACAATGAAAACTTGAATTACAGGTAGTGCTGTCCAATGTTGACCCATAAGCTGCTTAGAAATCCATCAAATAATAGAAGAATAATTATGCCAGAAATGACTTCCATGCTTTGACTTTTCTGTTGAAGTAACTGCATACAATATACAATTGTTGAGTCATTATATACCCTAAATTAACTTGGTGTTCAGCCAGTATTAACAGGAGTACTCTTTCCTGTGGCATGGGAAATACAAATTAACTTTTGACTATCAGGACCCTGTTTTAAGTTGGGTGCTGGGTCATTTTCACTGGAAATTCTGTATCTGCACCCCTGTATGGGGAAGGTCAAACAGCTCAGTTTGAATTCCTGCCTTGGAGTTGATCACTCACTGTCTCTTTTGTTTTTGGTCCAGAAATGGGAAACAGAGGTCTACTGAATAGGGCAGAGTCTAAAGGATGGTAAAGTGTTAGGATTCCTGGATTGGTCCTTTTCCAGACTGGCAAGGTCACACAGTATACCTAATAAAAATGTCATTAGACCAGAGTGTCCGTGGGTATAGTCCGTATAATTCAATCAAGTCCTTTGTGTTCTGGGCTGGAACGCTGGGTTACAGCCCAACTAAGGTCTCAAACAGAGCTGAGCAAACATAGATAAAGCTGCAACATTTCTGTCCAGCAGGAAAAGGGCAACTGCACAGCGAACACTGCAGTCTTTGTTATTTATTTTGCAAATTTGTGAAAATGTGAATATATCTTAATCTTTTAAGACTGATAAGTGGAAGGGTGTTGCATAACTCTTCTCACCAGTAAGTTCTGTCAGGCGTGTAAGAAACACTTGTAGGCAGTTCATAGTGCTGTATATAATCTTGAGCAGGATTTAAGATTGCAAGTCTCAGGACTGCAAGAATCAGAGCAGCCCTGGAGTATTTCCACTAAGCAGGTGCTTAGTGTCTTGAAAATATTAATGTATTAAAAAATCCTCCCTTCAGGAATAGCCAGAATGTCTTCAGAGACCTGTTTCCCAGTTCATACTTGCTGTTCCCACCATGTAGTCCCACCCTGCTGTTAGCAATAGGCTGAAAGGCAACACAAATCCTACCTTAACACATTGGCATTGTTTCCTTTAAATTCCCCACAGTGCCAGACGCTTTGTATTTTGAGCTTAGCTTTGCTCAAATAGAGCTACTTAATTTTTGTGCTAACTAGCCTGAAATAGCCCAAATTCAGTAGCCAAGGCTGGCAGGCAGAATCACCAAATGTATCTTCATAAGAAAGGTGGTACCCTGAGATACAGGTGATGCTCTGTAACTGCAGTAGCGCTGGTGGCTCTGGTAACTGGAGCTGTGCTGCACCTCTCCAAGGTCCCATCCAGCCCCTGGGGGCCTTTCTGCAGCAAGGTGATGTTTCTAAATGCCCCTCGTGTGTTACGCTCCGCAAGCTGGACATGCGACTTCTCCAGGTCCAGCCTCACTTCCCTTGCTCTGTCCCAAAGGATAAGGCATGATACCAGAGCTGAGAAGGCAGAGCGAGCTCCACAGAGTCCCCTATGCCACATAGCTTTTATAGATGAAGCATTTACTGCTTTCAGGCTCATGCATGTAACTAATAAACGGATGTGTAAACAGGGAAAGGAGAGGGAAGAAAGAAGGAAACTGCACTTTTAAATAAAAGACGAAAATGTGGTAAATATGGTAAGTATTACGCCAAGGTCTTTGCAAAGGCTTTCCCTACAATTTCTCTAATCAATCTGAAATCTTGATTCAAAACTTTGTGTGTATGGTGAGTTTGTATGAGTGTATGAGTATGCCATCAATTCCAGCCATATTCTTGTGATCGAGCCTTCTGCTATACACTTTCAAATCTGCAGGCTTGCCCTTAAATCAAACTGACTTTTCAGAAAATGTAATTTATTATAATGACTAATTCCAAGTCATTGGCTTCTAATACTTGATCCTCAAATATATATGACTTCCTCTTGCTCTCTGCAGTTTTCCATTTCATAAAATGAGTCATGTTTAATAACCTATATGATTAAAAATGGAACTACATGGAGAGGAATGAGATGGCAGAAAAATCACTATCTGACCAAATGACTGTTATTTCGAGTGGAATCTCAAGGAAGGAGGATAAAGTGTGACTCTCTAACCTCAAAATTGTGCATAACTCTTATGTCTCTGTTTTTCAAGGGATCACCAGCCTGCTTGCCAATGGAGTTTACAGTGCTGCATATCCTTTGCATGATGTAAGTGATCTTGGAATATATTTTACAAGTCTACTATCTGACCCCCAAAAATCACTAACTTGTTAGGTATTGACAGCATCATCCCAATGTTTAGGAGTCTTATTTCCTGCTTGTTTTTATGATGGCTGCAATAACCATTTCTGTACTTGCTTTTAATAAACTTTTCACCTCTGTTTTCCCCTTGATGATCACAACTGATGGTTTTACCAACACATTAGGAGACTAGTTTTAGTGGCTTAGCAAGTAAAATGCTTGTGATGGTTTTTGATCTTCTGTTCCCAAGGAGTCTGGCATCATTGCTATGATAAGTATTTATTTCTGTGGCACTTCTGGCATTTTTATGGCTAGTTTCCTGATCTGAACCTCTCTGGCATTCCCTTGCAAGCAGGGATATGCCAGTGGCTGTGTCTGTGTGATCTGTAGCCACTGGGGAAAAAAACGAGCCAGAATTCAAAGTGACATTTTTCATAAGGCAAAATGTTATTCTAGACTTTGTTAGTGTTGAAATCCCCTTTTCATCAGTTGGGTAAGATGTCAAAATATGTTACAATGTAATGCTCATTGATACAGGGAGCTCCTACTGAGGTTTAGAGACAAGCAGGGAGTTTTGGTGGCCCTCATTACCCAGGTTTGGGTTTCCCGTCCTGTCATAGAGTAGTAGGCAGGCAACAGTTGTGTGCTGGTGAAGCCTTACTCGTAATTTCAAGGTGTGAGTAGACCTGGAAAACATGCACTGCCAACCAGACCCTTGCAGAAAGGCTTGACAGGTATCAAGGAAATGTCACATCAATTTTGTCCTTAATGTTGGCATTAATGTGGGTTGGGAAAGTTAACACAGAATACTGAGCATGATGTAGGTTTTATAGATGCTTTTTCAGTTTTCGGAAGTATAGGAGTGTAGAAAAGCAATGTATATTTTTAACTTTCTGCTGTTCTCATTTTCACAGATTTTATGCTGGAAGTTTTACATTAGCCATAAATGTTTCATCTGAGAGTAACTTAGATCAAAACAGGCTCTTTGCCTACACAGTGTCCATTGTGAATGCCAGGCATTTTTTCTTAAATTCCAGCAATATAATTTTAAAATCCAGACCTGTTAAACAGTGCTGCATGTGCTTGTCTAGTAGCTTTAGACAGCTACTGATGTATATAACTTATTTATTGTCTTAGTTTACTCCTTTATTGTATTTAAAAATAGCTCCAAAATAAAACCTCCAATCTAATCAGCTCTGAATGTTTGGAGAGCCTGGATATAGATCAGCTCCCTGCTGGACACTTCTCTTTAAAGTGGACTGAGCTGAACCCCAAATGCCACGGAAATACCACATCCTTTCCCTTCACATTTTTAGGCCACCTTTATCACTTATTCATTCCTTTTTCCCCCATGACAGACATTATTACTCTTTCTTAATGTACTTGATGACAGAAGACAAAGTGTGCTATGACAAATGAACTCCTAAAATACAGCATTATTTTACAGATTGCTTTTCTGGTTTTGATGCATTAAGTGAGGAGGATACATGGGTATGCAAGATGCAAAGCAGCTCTGGGTATAACTCACTGGATGACACATTTTCTTTTCTTTTTTTTTTTTTTTAAAGGGTGACTATGAAGGTGAAAACGTTGAACCTAATGACAGAAAAGTAAGTTGAAATAAGAGATTTCTGCATGTTCACAAGTGTCACAGCCTGAAGTCACCTGTTGGAATCTGGAAATTTGCCAAGATTTAACAACAAATACCATGGAAATGCACCAAATGACATGTAGTAGTAGCACTTAAGTACTTTCCAATGCATAAATATGTCCCAATGTGGAATGCAGTGTTGATAGGTATAAACTACCATGCTCATAAAGGTACCTTTCTCTCCATATTGGTAAGAGTATTCATAGCATTTGCGTACAACTCCTCCTAAAACTGGGGTGGTTTAATTTCAGGTCATTTTTGATAAGAATATACTCAGCCATAGTGATTTAAAAAGTAATTGGAGGAATAAGCATTGTCATATTTCTGATAAGCGTTTGTTCTCTTGTATCTCAGCTGAGTTCTGATGTGCTCTATTCAACTCCAGCCTGCCCAATGCATGTGTACTGATGCATACACACCACTTTTCACATAAATCTGTGGTTTAAATTTTGTAGTTAGAGATTTTTTTTTATTGTTGAGGTACTGAAAGACTTCAACAGATTGCTGTAGTGAAGTTAGTAGAAATTATGGTAATGAAACTATCTACACTTTGCAGAAAGATTGACTTTATAAAGTCAGAGCAGAAGTATATACTTCCCATCACACTCTTCTAAAGAAGACGTTATTTTTTTTTCTGGTTAGCAGGCAATACCTCGAGCAGAGAGATTGAGACCACTTCTCTCAAGAAAAGTTAATAAATTTGGGTGCTGTATGTGCTGAGCTCTTGGACTTGAAACACATTGTCTTCAAGACTTACTTTGTGGTCGCATCTCCAAAGAAAGTCCAAAGAAAGTAGAAAAGTGTGAACTTGGGTTATGTGAAAAGCAGATCTAAAGCCCTCCAAGTTGGCCATATAATAATAGGCATCCAAAATTAAAGGCCTGTTGGGTCTTAAGGTGTTAGTGGCTGGCCCAAAGCCAGCTACTTCTGTTAGTGGCAAAACTGAGCTCCAGATTGCTCACTCAGGTTTTCAGCTCTAGGAACAGCTTTTTTTTTCATTCTTTCTTTTTTCTCCTTTTTCTTTCCTCTGATTTATGTTAAAAATACTACATATGTGTCATTTCATTATTAAGCAGCACATTGCTGAAACATGGGATAGCAGTCCACACTTACTCAAAGCATCTGGATTATCATCTGTGTTACTAACTTTCAGAACCTCACAAATCCACTTATTTCACAAGTTCATTGGGGGTTTTTAAATGTTTAGCTTGGCTTTTGACTTCTAGTTCCTTCAAATAATCTTTTGGTGTGTTTTGGCACGTCTCTTCTGGCTTCTTCAAGCTTTTGTTAATCTAATCAAGTGCTAGGCCAGGCTGTGCCTTTTTTTAATAACAAAATTAAAGATTTGAGGCATAGAAATGAAGTAAATATTTAGAGCTAGTGTACTGTTCTCCTATAATCATGTCTTTGAAGCTGTGCTTTGTTTATCAGCCTGATATATGCCAGGATAAATGAGATTCATTTATATTTTAACTACAAACTTCTATGTTATCTTTACATTTTGGAGTACTGTACAAATTTGAAAAAAAAAAAAAATGGCCAGGATGCAAAATTGCCTTAGTTCAGTATTTTCTTGCTGTATTGACAAGCTTAGATCCCTTCTGCCTAGGTGGCAGAAAAAGGATGCAATTTTCAGCACAATCCTAGACTGTAAAAAGGAAGTAAATAATAAAATGACCATCTCAGCTAGTACACATTAATATTGAAGTGTCCTGAAGCATTGAGTCCCAAATATAGACAGTTGATCTTGAACTGCAGGAAACATGACTGAAAGATCTCAGTATATTTGAAAGCAGAGTAAAAACAAAATTTTCAAGGATTTTTAAGTTATTAAAGGTCTGTCTTTCAAGCTTCAGTTTCTGCTCTTCCTGTTGTTAGGAAACCAATAAAGATTCATTAATTTGGATTGCAGAGAAGAAAATGCATAGTTCACTATGTTTTGATATCATATTTTTATAAAAGTAACTGCTCAGTTATATTTTTGAATAATTTAAACCCGTTGCTTGAGAAGTACAACACAGCAGTCCAGCTTAGAAAGTTTGTCCTAACAATTAGACATGTAGGAGGCTGACATAGGTCTAGTTTCTCCCTATCCTGATAAAACAACCTACCGACTTTAAGCAGTATTGTCCTGTTTGATGTGTCCCTCTGTGTCAAGGACGAATAATGCTGCCTTGCCTGGTTGTGGTAGCAATTAGTGGGGAGTTTCTTAGGTTGTGCCTACAGGTCACAGTTTCTGAGCACAGAGCAATCAGTTTTTTTCCCTTGGTTTCCCATTTTTCAGATGAGGTGACTGATGATGGTGGACCCATTCAGGGTCCTCCCTCACCTTTTGACAAGGTAAAATGAGATGGTACTGCTGTCCACTTGCCCCCACACAAAATAAGGTCCAAGATCAGATAGTCCAAGCAAGGAGATAAGAGATCCTTGCATATAGGTATGGCATTCCCCCTGAGATGCTCTACCTAACACATGGCTAGTATGTGTTACCCACCCAATGGTTACTACTTTTCCAGTTATTTTTCAGTTATTTCATTTCCCTCTCATAATCTGAATTTTATTTCTTTTTCAGAGCGGTCTGGGTGGGGTTTTGAACAGTACTTCAGTGTTTCAAATCTCATTAAGGGTGACTAGTCTCGCTTTTGAAACTCTGCCATCTGGCATACTTAGTTTTGGAAGCTCCATTGCTTCACTCTTATTTGCATAAAATTCCCATGGTCTTTCATGGGAATTGCAGATTTATTTATTTTTTAAAAAGGAGCATGTTAAAGCATAACGATAGTAAATGTACAGTAGATATGGTAAAGTGTTATTGTAAGTAAGAGTAAGACTCAAAAGCATTATTCAGTGTACCCATCTGTAAGTCAAGCAGTAAATATTGACTCTGTGCTGTTGTATCTTTCTCTGTTAAGAATATAAAACCATAGTGGTTCAGAAAGTGATGACCCAGGAGTAGTTTCTGAACTATGACGTTTCTTAATCTTAATAACCTGTTTTCATTTACATGATAAATATTAAAGGACTTAGTCCATTATAATAGAGTGTAATGTTAAATATTAGATGTGATTGTTGCTAGAAGTAGACCTTCCCTTTGCTGGCAGCATTTAGATTAGGTACACTTATACTGAATATGTTTAAAATGACAGATAATTTAAAACAACAAAAAAGTGATGAGAAAAAAGGCCAGCTGACAACAAAACTTAAAATTTTTACTTGCTTTAGAACTTCCGAGTATTTCCAATCTAAGTTTCTCTAATTTTCCATAGTCCATCTGCTTTTTACTCTTTTTGCCCAGCTGTCTGTGAAAAGAAATATTTTGGTAATAACGTGTTTGTGCTTCTACATTTGAGAGAGCAGTAGAAGAGAAAGAGGTTTTGTTGCCAGATGAATTTGTGAAAACAGAAGTGACCATCAAAGCATTGTCCCTTAATGGTTAGTAATCTGTCCAGGAAGATCCTGCCAGCTAGTTCATGTTGCAGGCTCAAAGCAGGAGAAGCCAAAAAGAGATGCATTTGCTAATAGACCCAAAGCTGTTACGGTGATGGGACAATGTACTGATTCCTTGTTCACTCTGTTGATCTGAATTTAAAAAAATAAATGGATCTGAAAATTGCTATATATATATTTTACAGAGTAAAGGAGAAGTTGAAGGTCTCGGTAGAACCTATTTTTGTGAGGGATTATATTTTATAAATGGCTAATGTTGTTTTCCTTGGCCCATATCCTAACCAAAAGGATGAGCGGAAATCATCACATTCATCAAAACAGCTCTTACTTGCAGCTTCAAGGCACTTCTGCACATTCCCTCTTGATGGATGCCGAATATTAGTATAGCTAAAACAAACCAGTTTATTCAAGTTTTGTTCTGTCTAACAACTTGAGGCATATTCATCCTTCACATCCGTTCTGCTAAATACCTGCTACAAATCATAAAACCGGGACTGCCCTCCCTGTCTCCGTGCTGTAGCTATCCATCAGTCCTCTTGTTGAAGAGCCTTTTAATGCACCAGAAATCAGTGCCGTGTTTCAGCAAGCCAAAACATCAAATTTGATTTTAATACTTAATGCAGGCAGACCGAGTTATGTGTCGAAACCACTAAGTGGTGAGAGGAGATGGCATCATGAGCTCACTGTTTTCTTGATCAGGAGGAGAAGCCTCTTGGTGGTTCCAAGTGCTTTAGCTGTCGCCTTTCTGTTTTGCAGCTCCTGTGTGAGGAGTGGGCGAGCTACGGAGTCTTTTATAAATATCAGCCCATTGACCTGGTGAGGTGAGAGTTGCCCCATAACCTTTTATTTCTATGAGGAAGTTTTTTGAAGTTCTATGAACTTCATGTGAAGCTCTCTTGCACATGCTGATGTACCTGCATGTGAATCTGTCCTTGGGTGCTGCCCCGACGGATTCTCAAGAATGAAAAGATCCTTGTGTTTTTAGAGAAAATCACAAACTCCCCATGTGTTCAGAAAGAAGTTGCTGCATTCCTTATTGTGCAAAGGTTTGCGGGGTTTGCATAAGTTTTATGGGCTTAAGGGAGTGCAGGACTTCAGTGTTCTCAAAGAATTCTCTTTGCTCATGGTGAGAGCTGAGACTCTCTGCAATAAATATGTTAAGGAAAATAAGATGCTATTTTAAAAGGATTGGCTCTCACAGAAGATCCAAAGATATTAATTTACACAGCTGAAAAGCAGAAAATATTGACAAATTGGAATGACTGACTTTTCTTGGTGCCTGAATCACTAGATTGACTCCAAACATCATGAGAAAAAGAGTCCTCTGGGGGGAAAAAAATCCCACAGGTCATCAGATCTTACTTTATCCATGCTTAATCCAGCTGTGATTCATAATTTTAGCCCTGTTATATTTTAAGCAATAGGAAACATTTTCTTTTCTTTTCTTTTTTTTTTTTTTTTCCCCTTTATTTCAGAAAATACTTTGGAGAGAAGATTGGACTATATTTTGCATGGCTGGGAGTTTATACACAAATGCTTATTCCAGCTTCAATTGTGGGGATTATTGTTTTCCTTTACGGCTGTGCGACAGTGGATGAGAATATACCAAGGTAAAACAACAAGACCAAATGCTTCTGTTTCTAACTCGGACCATCACATAAATTAATGTTAAGGCAAACTAACAAAATGCTGCCAATGATAGGTGTCGATGCTTCCTATCATAAAACAGTGGAGCATATTGCGTGATATAGAGATAAATCAACATATATCTAAAATAGGCAATTGTGGTCAGATTAGCAAAATCTTGATTATTTTCAATTCTTCAGTAAGTCCATATTAAAATATTTTAAATACTCTGTTTTTTTGCATCATTGGTCCTGCATGCATTATCAGGTGTGGATGAAAATGACACAATTGGAACAACAACTGTAAAGAGTGAATAACAAAGCAGATGAATGGATGTCAGAAACTAGACACTTCTGTTTATTTGGGCTGCTTCATACTGTGTCCAACAGCTGAAGAAAGTTAAGGGGAGTGTCGCAATTGCAATTACATCAATGCAGTATAGAGATGATGTGCTCCAGAGCCTTGTTATCCCTATTACCTTTGTTCCTAAAAGTTCTAATCTATAATTAGTGTTTTGAAATAAGTTTTTTGCTTCTTATCTCTCTCTTTTAACCGTAAGGTGTTGTAATAAACATGATACGGACTTACACACCTCCTAACAATATTTCTATCAACACTGTTGCTCACTGGAACACTAGCTGGAATGGAACAAGAAATCAGTCTTGCTTGGGAAGTCTAACCCCTACGTGATGTGGATTGCACATAGGCTTGTTCACAGGGGTCAAGATGTACAAAGTCTTATGAAATGAGTATTTCATTGACCAGATATGCATTCAAAAATGGGTGCTGTGCAGAAGAGAACGGCCTTCTAGAAGAGACTGTGGGGGCATGGAAGACGAGCTGTGCTGACTTTGCCTTTTGCCTGTCTTGTTGCTTTGCTGCAGTATGGAAATGTGTGACCAGAGAAACAATATCACCATGTGCCCCTTGTGTGACAGAACGTGCAGTTACTGGAAAATGAGCTCTGCTTGTGCAACTGCTCGTGCAAGTCATCTGTTTGATAACCCTGCAACTGTCTTCTTCTCTGTCTTCATGGCTCTCTGGGGTAAGAAAATATATGACTTGATGTTAAGTTTTTAATTATTTAAAGTACAACAGGAAAAAACAAGAGAGATAAAGTAGTGTATTTATACTCAGACAGTTAATTATATAAAGAACTATTCTTTTTTTTTTCCTCCTTCCCATGAAACTGTCACCCCCAAATTTATTTTCTGGACTGAAAGCTAAAAATTCAAAAAGTTTCTCTAGATGAATATCAAATGAAATTGTTAAGCATCTGTCATAAAACTGCTGTGTGGTGTGTCAAAACTTCATTAAGGGGATTGCATAGCTTGCCAACAAAATCTATTTGCAGAGCCAGCTTCCACTTTAGAACATTACAGAAAAAAGTGTATTAATGTACTTTAGGGCTGAGGAGAGGACTCAGCAGGGAAGTGTAATGGCCTTTAGCATCTCAGGACAAACCATGATTGATTCTTGAGTGAGCTCTGAGATGCAATTAAGTTTATCAGGAAACAGCCGTCATAAGTGGGCACTTGGAATTGTAGCATTTTAGGTGTTTTTCTGGTGCAGACTGTCCCTGTGTTTTGAGCAGGTCGTTAAACCTTTCTGTTTCTTTTCTCATCTGCAAGACCTTCAGAAGGTATTAACCCCTTCCCGTGTGGCATCCCTGTGTGTTCAGGGATGGCCATGGAGGGCACAGGGATGGTTGTCAAGGCCCTTGTAAGAGCTTGGCATCGCTGTCACGACGTCATCCCTGTCTGCAGGCAGGACATGGGCTCTGTGGGGAAGCCACCAAGCAGCAGGTCCCCTTGGAACATCACTGGGAGCTCAAGCACTGCCAGAGCTCTTCCCCAGTCACGCCCTGCCCTTATGAGACTCCTGAGAGCAGCACAAGAGGAGTTTTGTCCTGTAAACATGCTTAGAAAAAGCTGCTTTGGATTATATTTAATCCTAAAAAACACAGCTCGAGTTTTTGTTTGTGCTAGCTGAACTAAACCAGCTTTGCAGCAGAGTCTTAAAGATCGTCACTGCCTTAAAGAGCATCGTGCCACGTTATATATATGGGGAAATGTGATATACCTCGAAGCCGGATGCCATGTCAGAGACTTTAAATAGTCTGATTCGCTCATGCTGAGAATCAAATATCAATTTCTCTCTCTCTCTCTCTCATTTACTGCTACTGTGAACCCCACGTGGATCTCAAAACATAATATTCTCTTGTCCAAAGAGTAATACTCTTTGGCTCCTTTTCCTTAACAGAGAGTTATAGGTCCCTCCTCCCATTTCTGACATTTTTGGGCAAAGGACAGGAGACTGGGAGAAGGCTCCTGATTTTGAGGCTCTGTGTGCAATAAGGCTTTATATCTGGGATAGCTTTGGAATGGGAATCACCTCATCTTTAAGTGCAGTTCTGGGAATATGTTCTTTCCCTGTCTGTAAGAGAATGAAAATAAATGTTTTTTTGGGAGGAAGCAAAATAGCTTGGGACCTTCTGGGTCAACACAAAATTTTATTTTAGTGTAATAGCATCTAAAATTGTTGTGATTTCAAAAAAAAAAAAATCAATCAGAACTAAGAAAATCTAGACTTTTTTCCAAAAAAAAGATCACTTTATTACAAAAATAATTTCCAAAGTCTTTGTCAAAGCAATTTTTAAATTTATTTAGCATTTTATTTTTTAAGGGAATAATATCTAGGAAAAAAAAAGGTTATCTCTAAATGTAGATAAATGCATATTCTTCAGTGTCATTTCAGAGCAACTCCACAGCCAAGGAGAAGTTATATTATGTTCATGTACAGCTGAGGAAGGGAGACAGAGAACCCTATTAGGGTGACTTGAACTTTTTCGCACATGTTGGAAATCATTCCAAGTTTAAGGGCATCATTGTAAGCAGTCATTTGGCCAGGCTTTCTTTTTATGATAAAAGTATTTATGTGTTCTGGGGAACTGCATTCACACGAGTTAAAGCAGCTTTAGCACAGAATCAGGCCTCTCTCCCTGGTTAAACATAGACCACAGCACAAGCTGCTGTCCCCAAAGCAGCAGCCTGTCCCAGGTTTGACCTGGTCTGGCCTCGTCTCGAGCACTGCTAGCCTTTTCTCTCAAGGAAGTAGCCCTGATGCTTTAGTATGAAGAGATATTAAAAACCCCAAAGAATCCTGATGGACAATAACCTTTGGCATTTTTTTGGCTCCGTGTGTGTGTAGGCCCAAGGGAAGTGTGGACACGCAGGTGTAGCTGGCCAAGACTCAGCGCACTGCTCTATACCTGCCTCATTCACTCCCTGCCTTTTCCAATGAGCTAACAGCTGGCTGCATTTCAGGTGTAATATTTTCATTTTACATTTTTGTAAGTCAATGCTGTAAAGCGATTCCTAGTAGCACTGAAAAACAATGTGTTTCTCCCTGACATGGAAACCATAGACCGCAGCGTAGGCACTCTCAGGATGAGAAACAGGGAGGCATATTCCAGGTTTCCAGGAGACACAGACTCTCCTAAGACACAGCTGTGGCAATACGGCTGTGCAGGCAGCACATGGCTTGTAAAGGGGCTCCGTTTTATAGGTTTTGCACTTGAGAGTTTCCCTAAAAAACTATGGAGTGCTGTGACCCTAACCTGGCTCCATCCATCACTGTGTCCTTCCCTCTCCGTTGAACTCTGTTGCCTCTCCCTGCCTCGGTCTCTCTGAGCGTGACGGCAGATGTTTCTGGAACATCTGTTTATACTCACTGCGGAGGGCTCCCTGGGGGCCCCTGTTTCTCGGTAGACTTGCCTCTTTCATAACCGCTTATTTATTGTACAGCGCTGGTGTATTCCCAGCATCTAAATACGTCCTCTGAGAACTTCCTCCCCCTCAGAGGCAGAGAGACTGATACAGCCAGGGAGTGTTTGTTGTGACTCGAGAATTGCTTTTACGGTGTTTCTTCTCTGGATGCCATCCCCAAGGAAAAAGAAAATGACAGTGCTCCCAATGCTAAAAAAAAAAAGCATTAAAGGTTTCCTCTTGACTCGTCTGCCCACCTGCAGCTTTTACACTGGCATGAGCGTGTCAGCTGGGAGTGACTGTTAGAGCTAAGCAGACCCTTGTAAGCACTAGATAGATTTAATCATAACAATGTAAAATGTTCTGTCTTAATACATGTGAGGGCATAACTATACCACTAAAAGCACACATTCAGAAATATAGCTGCTTAACATGCTACACACAGTATCAAACACAATTTTGTTCAATTTTGTGGACAGATTTGTATACAGATAAAGACCGACAATATTGAGTCACACGTGCAAATCAATTAAGTTAGGGTATCTGACCTTCAGAACTGTGTGCATCTTCCTGTGTGAGAGCGTGGATATAATAAATGCCCTTTCCTTGAGCTTATGCAAAGAAATACTGTCTCCCAGGGCTGTTTATCAGCATTTCCCAGACAGACATTACTGCTGAATAAAAGAAACAGAAATGGAGCAAAGTTAAGCTGGTCCTGGCTACCACACCCAGGCATTGCACCTGCTGAGACCTTCCAGGTTTGCACCAGCCTCAGTGGAAATCAGATTGGCCAGTGTGCCTATTCATAGCCCTTACAGACATACAACAAATTCTAACTCATTCTAGCCCCCTCAATTCTGAAACCGTTTCAAAGGCTTTTTATAAAATGTCCATATAATTGTTCTAAAACCTGTTGTTGCAGCTGCGACGTTCATGGAACACTGGAAGAGAAAACAGATGCGTCTCAACTACAGGTGGGACCTGACTGGGTTTGAGGAGGAGGAGGTTTGTCCCTTAACTTCTGACTTTTTGACTTCTGCTGTTGTATTATAAATAGTTTTTTACTTAGAAATGCTAGACATTGCTTCATGGAATACTCCTCCTGTGCTATTCCATCATGTCAAAGAAAGGAAAATCCTGTATGTGAACTGTTTGAGGTTTTTATAGCAAGGATATGACTAGTTCTTACTGTTGCCATAGAAACATAATGGTATAGCCACAAAATCTGTGGGTTTTTTTTTTTTTTTTTTGATATGCAATTAGGTCACACCTAGCAGTGCAGGCTTGGAATATATACCTCATGCATTACTGCCTGGCTTCAGTCAAGGCGCTAACAACTAAGGTCTTCATTCAGCTCGCACTGCCATAAATCAGCAACAAATGTATTGAAGTTGATAAAGTTACAGTATTGTAAAAAAGCACTGCAAAAAATCCCATTAACTTTAATGATGCAGGAGCAAGCCCTGACTTGGCAAATATCTAAGAAAATATTGCCAGACATGTGGGCTTGGGGCACTGGGAGGAACGCAAGTGTGGAGGTGGTAGTTTTCGCATGTGCCAAAAGAAATCCCAGCCAGATGTATATTAAATGTGCTAAACTGTGTGAAAGGAAAAAGAGCTGAATCTGTATGAAAAAAGATGTTAAGAATGAATGAAGTTCTAGAAAGAGAAAATATTCGGTCAGTTGAGAATCTTCTTGCTAGAGTTATCTCCTCTTAGCAATATACATCCCACCATAATATACAGGCACACTATGGATGCAACCTGCGTGCCACGCACTTTGCGGCTCTATTGGGAGCGAATATGGGGATTTACTTCCTGGAGCCCTTTTATTTTTGGTAACTTGTTGTTAGTGTGCATGAAAGTGGAGAGGATTAACTGTATCTTTCCAGTAGCAATCTCCTTCAATCTCCTTCATGTCTAAGTTCAGGGCTCTACACAGCTACACCATTGTGTGACCAAAGGCAGCAGCTGTCAATAAAGTATAATCTTATTCTTTGCTTTGTATGGTCAGCTCTAGATTATACAATCTTGAAGTCAGCAGAGGGTTTAACCACCTCCTACTCCTGATTTTGTTGGTTAAGTTGGTACTATCCTCATTTAAAGCATGAGTAGCTTGAATTCCCTGGGTGATATCTAGACGTTCACTGAACCTATGATTTATTTTCATGTGATTTTAAAATATAAATGCAATATAACCTATAACAACTCAGTAATCAAAATTTTGTGTTCTTTTTTTTTGTCTTGCTTTTTTTATGGATTTTTTTCTGGTTTCCTGAAGGAGGCAGTCAAGGTTTGGAAAACTTTTTAATCGCTTGTATCTTTTTTATTAAGTCTACTGGTGAAAACCATCTTTTGATCTCAGCCTTTTTCTTTCCTAGCATCAGATTTTCTTTAGAGCTCCTCTGATACTTTTTCTTTTTTCCTTTACACTCTTCCACTTTTTCAGACTTTTTTTTCAGGTCCGTTCTATTTTCCATGCAATGTATAATTTTGAGCACTTTCTGAATCTTCTAGCTGTCTCTGTGTTTCTGAATTATTTCCTACATCCTCCCCTCTAATGCATATGGATAATCTGGGAGTGTTGTCAGACAGGAATAGGACATGTAAACTTGGTCCATCTAAAAACCAGCTGGCAATTGTGTGGGTTCCCACCGCTGCATGCTTTGCATATTCACAGCAGATGTTTCCCTCTTGAGCTGAGAATCACAGAAAATACAGTCAAGAACATATAAAATCTTTTCAATCAAAAATAAAAGTCACTGAAAAACAAGCATATCGTATGCTTCGCTGTGCCTTTTCTACAGGTTCTGATGTACACTCTTATGTATTGAACTTTATTCTACATAGGGTAGATTTATCACCTGTGCACCATGTACAGGTATCTGTTAGCAAGTATTTTTACATTTTCTTTAATTGATAGTCAGCTATCTATGGTCAACTATCAATTGACTTAAAGGATGTCTCATTTGAATGAGAATAAAATTAGAAAAACTTGGGAATTATCAGGAAATCAATGTGCCATTTATTCATATACAACTAATAGAGAAAGTAGATAATTTTGCTTTTTCTTAAATGTTACTTACTTCACAGGATCATCCAAGAGCAGAATATGAAGCCAAAGTTTTAGAAAAATCATTGAGAAGAGAATACAAACATAAAGAGGTATGGTTAAAAAATATTCTTTTTTTGACCTATTAAAAGCTTTGAAAAAGACCAATTTTAGCAGGCTCTCTCCCAAGAAGAAGGGAAAAAGAAAAGAAACATAAGGAGGGAGATGCATACTGGTTTAAAATTGCAATTTTTGATTGCAATTCATAATTTCCACGCTAGTTTATATGTAATAGAGTCTAGAAATATCTATATAGCATGTATGTAATAAGTATGTAGCATATATGTAGTAAAGTCTAGAAATATCTTCAATAATAGTACTCAGAAATGTATTTTAAGATGGTTAATCTAGCCTGATTTAATGGAAGTTCCTAGTAAGCTAAGGAATAAAGTTGGAGAAAACTGGTAGAGAACACCTTAACCCATGCTATTTTGAGCAACTCCAATGTCTCTGGAGACATTCTTCTGTCTTGCTAGCATGCATCCTCAGGATACCCTTATTTTAATCTTGGGGCTCCAGTGAGAGGTTCTGTACACATTCCAGCTGAAGTGAATGTGTCAGGCAGCTGCCCGTGGAGTTCTAATTTCTCCAGTAGAACTCTCCAAGTTGCTTTCGCCATCTCACTGGGCATGTACCTCACTAAGAAGCTGCCTGAACTTTGGAACTGCTCAAGCACTCGAATGTTTTGCTAGTAAATTTGAATGTGGCTTCTTTGTGCTTAGGTCTTCTTGCTACAGTACTAACTCGGAATACTAACACCAATTTCCTTGCCAAATTCCCATTTTGGTAGTAACTTTCCGCCTTTCAAAAACATAACATCCCTTTTGCTTCAGTGAATAAGGTATCCCTCTCTTGTCTTTGATTTGTTCCTTTCCCTTGCCGTGAGAGGTACTGCTTACCCTGTTCATGGGCAGTGTAGTTGCTCTGAGGAGCCTTTGCTGAAGGCTATAACACTTTGAGAAAGGTCCTAGTCTTCCCCAAATGCTTGTTTCAAGGCCACTTCTCCCTTACCTGTAAGAATTCAGCCGTTTGTGTGGCGAACCACATCTTATAAGCAGAGAAGTAAATGCTCTTGCTATAAAACATTTCTCAAGGTGTTGGCAGATATTCTTCTTGGATCTGTTGCTGGTTGAATAGTTGCATGGAGCCATGGCCAAAACTGGGGAGTTAGATGGGAGAAAGCCCTGTGAAAATATAAAAATATAAAAATTAAATAAAAAATATAAAAATATAAAAAAAAATATGGCACTAACCATGTTAATATTGAGTATGTTATAATAGACACTATACGTAGATAAAACTGGATTGGCACTGAATTAAGTGTATCTGGTGTGTCATGTGCTTATATAAAGAATGGAGTGCTCTTAAAGGATGCTACAAAGGATGCTGATACTGAGATATTCTACTTTATTAAAGAACGCAATGCACAAGCCTTTCAGTGTAGTCTGGAATACCTTCCAAAGTAATGCCTTTTCAAGGCATTACTTTGAAATCCCTGCAGAAGAGAGATTTTTAGGTTGATATCCTTTTACATGGTAGATAAACAATGCTTGAACACAGTTTCTTTTTATTTAACCATCTGTAACCTGCTTTGCTTTCTGGTATATTAGAAATTCAGACTTTGAGTGCAGAAGACTGTAGGATAACTGGGCAATTAATGAGTCGTGGCCTCAAAATATTGGTGTCTGGAAGCTGAGCAATTAGGAGAGGAGGAGTCTTCAAGAAGTATTTATAGCTTTTGGATTCTATTCAATTTGGATGTTACTAATTTGGGAAACGTGAGAAAAGGAGTCTTTATGAAAAACTCAGTAATTATCTTTCTTTGAATCTAGAGTGTAAAAGTTTAAATTAAATAAAGGTCACTCCTAAAGACAAAATTTTCAGGATTCCGTTATACATCTTAACAAGGAAAAAAGGTTGCAATTCTAAGTGAAAAGAAGAAAATGGCTTACTAGATCAGCTTGAGCTCCAAACCTTGAGCAAAGGGTTTGGGGCAAGGAGAGGAGTTTGTCGTTGATATTTTATTATTAGCCTAAAGATGAAACATGAAGAGCTGGGCAAACTAACAAAACATTTGCTTGTTGCTAAACTGTTGTGTACACTGACTCAGTAGAGACCATAGAGATTAATTTAGCAGTGCTTTGTAACATTGTGTTGCACGATCCTTTTCTGTTTCCTTTACTTGCCATCAGAAGCATCGATATTTTCCAGAAGAGACAGCAAACAAATGGAGGCAAACAGTTACGACAGCCATGTCTGGGGTGAAATTGGTACTTTTAAATCAAACTCGTGAAGAAATTCAAATTATGAGTAATTATGGAAGACTCAAATCAATTGTTTTTCTCAAAAAACAAACCAACTTTGGCTGTTGAACCTTTGTGTAGTATTTGCCTTTAGTTCTGGAGCTTTTGTTATTCCTCTGCCCTTTCAGCACCCTCCTAGTCACCATTTCTGTGCTTTGGGAATGGCACTGCTTGGCTAATCTTGGCTTCCAAAGGTTGGATGAATGTTGTACTTGGCGTTGGAGCATTGGCTGTGCGCTTTTACTGTTGCTTGCTCCTTTCTGAGATAACCTGCATGTGCTAAGATGCGAATTTAGAATGATATTTTTAGAATTTAGAGTAATATTTTTGCATTCATTACAACGTGTGTTTTGCCTTCTGTCATGTTACTTTGTTGTTTAATTTATGGTGTTTAGAAACAATTTGCAGCCTCAAAATTTATGAAAGAACTCAGATCCAGCAATATAACTTGGAAGGAGATTCCCATACCCAAGCTGAGAATGGGAAAAGCAAGGAGTGGTTGACTGCATTTAGGATATCCCATAGAGAGTAATTTTACCTGCCCACATTAACATCTATGACAGCGTTCTGCTGAGCGCGGTGTGGATAGTTGGGTGCTTCAGGTTACTGCTAATGAAGCAATTTGAAGTCCATCACACAGCAAAATAAAATCGTCCCTGACTCATGGGCTCTGATCCTTCAGATTTCTAGCACACACAGAGCCTGTATTTCAGTGGCACCAGTTGTGTAAATGCAGGCCTCAAATATTATCTGGCAAGGAAAAGGGTAGGGAGGTGAGTTTTTCCGGGGGGGGGAGGCGGAAAAAAGTGGTATTTAACAGTGGAAGAGATCTTACTTCACAAATGACAGAGTATTTGCACAATTATTTCAAAGGGTATTTAGAAAAAGCTGTTTGATTTCTTGTCTCAGTTCAGATGCTTGGCCAACTTGAACCTAGATAAGAAGTAAACAGTTCTCCTGTTTGAAAGTGTAGCTGTAAACACTGTGTCTTTGTGTTTGCTAACTGAACGTGTATTTGTAGTTCTTCTCTGTTATTTCACATGCACAAATAGAAGAGATCTTTATGGCTGCTCTGTCTTTGTTTAATTTCAACTTTTTTTTTTTCTTCCGTATTTTAGACAGATAAAGAAAAACTCACGTGGAAGGATCGTTTTCCTGCCTATTTCACTAACTTTGTTGGCATTCTCTTCATGGTAAGAACATCTGAAATGTATGCTACTGAGTCAAAGTTTAGAGCAGAATGGATACAAATATCAGTGAAGGGATGACAGGCCACCAGATTGATATGGTTTGCGATGACTTTTTCCCCACAGAAAAAAGTCCACACCTTTTACTGTTTTATAATTGAAAAATGTTTTAACAATTGCTAAATTCAATCTGCTATTTGTGAAGAAATATCTGAAAGTGATGATATGGTGGATCATCACTTGGTGGATGGATATTACTACCACCATTGATGGAACAAGGATTTTGAAGTAAACAGGTCTAGAAAATGGCTTAATTTTTATTTTGAAGGGTTATTAAGAAATGACATAGTAAATTTCAGTCCTGATTACAAGGACTTTTTCTAAGTCAGTTAAGTTGGGATATGATCAGGAATCCTGTTAAGATTATGGCTGAATCTAGTATGAAGGAACTACAGTTATTCCTTTTAATAAGAAACTTTGCTATTCTTAATTGCAGGTTGGGCTGACATTTGCTATCGTGTTTGGAGTCATAATATACAGGATCTCAACTGCAGCAGCCTTAGCTATCAGTTCAACTCCATCTGGCCGGTCAAGCGTCAGGGTCACCGTCACTGCCACCGCTGTCATTATCAATTTGGTCGTCATCATCATCCTGGATGAGGTGTATGGCTGCATAGCAAGGTGGCTCACTCAGATCGGTAGGTTCTAGTCCTCCACGCATGTCTGTTAGCAAAATTATAAGTGAGAGGACTTGCCATTACGACTAATGTCAAACTCATAAGCAAATCCAGGAAATTAAAATTTAGGGCTCAAATTCTTCCAGTTACTTAAAGATATGAAGGGGCACATAGGCTCAGCTTTATTTTGGGAGCTTTTCTTCCAGCTGTGGTAGCACTCATCTCTAGCCAGATAATGGGTGAAATAGATGCAGCAGAAATTCCTGTATCTAATCTTGAACTTGAACTGGACTCTTCTATATTACACAATTGCTAATTTAATTTTCTTTGGCATAAGTCATGTTAAGAAATGAAAAGCTGAATGCAAAAAGCACTACAGAAAAAATATTCTGAATGGTTTTCATAAATATCAGTGACAAAAGGCCCATAAAATTTTTCAGATAGTTGTTTGCAGAATGGGCAAATGCTTGTGTTTGTGCAGGTCATCCAGATGTGAAATGAAATTGGAATTATTATTGCAATTCAGCTGAGCAGTAGGATTCTTACTGGATTTACTACTGGGCTCAATAAGGCCAAATTGGTTTAACACTACAAAGATATATATGCCTTTTTAATTAAAAAGTGACTGACAGTTTCCAAAGTCCACATTTACAGGATTTCGAAATGCTCTAGGTAGGATAATCGTTTAAAAAATCTTATTTATATCATATGGTTTCCAGAGGTTCCAAAAACCGACAAGAATTTTGAAGAGCGTCTGATTTTTAAGGCTTTCCTCCTGAAATTCGTCAATGCCTATACGCCCATTTTCTATGTCGCTTTTTTCAAAGGCCGGTGAGTATTGGAGGGTGCTATTTAGGTTTTCAACTTGGGATTTTTTTGTGAGGCAGCTCTAGCTGGATCTGAGAAAAGGTCTGGGTAATAAAATAAGTGTGGTCTAGAAACTCCTCAGTATGGAATTAAAAACCCTGCAGCCGTATGGGATAAAGCAGTGATCTATGTGATTATGCAGTTTCTAATTTGTTAAGGTCATCTTTCCGAGTTAACTTTGTACATTCAGATATAATGCCCTATCAGGCATTGTCTATTTATCATGCTCTAATTTTGTGATGTAGAAAATAGTACTTCTGCTCTTGTAACCAGCACGAAAATATCCAAAGCAATACATCCAAATCTGTTGGCTAATGAAGCAGCTGTGCAGTGAGTGCCCACAGCTAGTTTGAATGCCTGACTTTTGCAAAAATATGCCTGTAAATGAGGGAGGCACATGAACAACTCAATAAAAACTGCAAGTTAGCACTTCTGCTTTGAAAAAGAAACAACTACTTCAAGCATCAATTATGAAAAATACGCTATATAAGAGGTTTTTAATTCTAACCATTATGTTCTAGATTTGTTGGACGTCCAGGAGACTATGTCTACATTTTCCACTCCTTCCGCATGGAGGAGGTAATTGCATTTTACCCTGTCCGAGGCACCTGGAAACGGCACCTTTCATTATCACAAAGATCTATGTTTCTTCTGTCCATTTTAGTGTGCTCCTGGTGGCTGTCTGATGGAGTTGTGTATCCAGCTCAGTATCATCATGTTGGGCAAACAGCTGATTCAGAACAACTTATTTGAGATTGGCATCCCGTAAGTCACACAGGTTTTTTTTATATGTGTACAATACAGTGTGTATTTAGCTGCCTGTTGATATAAATCAGCTTTGTAGGCTTCATAAAAGGTCTTTACAATAAGGCTCTTCTTGCTCTATGTATGTCTCTTCTACAGTATTGTCAGGCAAGGCTATAACATCAAGGGTAAGGCTGACCTATACATAGAGCTCATTGTGTCTGTTCATATAAAATAACTGTCAATCCTCCCATTTGAGCAAAGACATTGTAACCTGAATAGCATGTTAACTGCATCAATCCATTTCTTCCAGAAAAATGAAGAAATTTATAAGATACATGAAATTAAAGCGTCGACGTTCTCTAGATCATGAAGAGCATGTGAAAAAAAAGCAACGTTATGAGGTGGACTATAACCTGGAACCTTTCGCTGGACTTACCCCTGAATATATGGAAATGAGTGAGTGAGGTGGAAAGGAGACATTTTAAGCCATAATTAATTTGATTAATTGGGAGATTTTTCAACTGCAGATTTGGTAGGCAGTGGATAAGTTGTATGTTAACCTAATTATTAAAGGGTATACCCTAGGACCGTAGCACATTTCAGCCAACCATCAGCTGCAGCCTGGTTGAACTTGCAATGTCATGTTCATGATCCCGTACTATATCAATTATCAATTGATAATTGATATCAAAAGTTATCAATTCCGAAGAATATATTCAATTAGTTACATCAGTAGTTGGAAGTAACAGAGGAAGAGAATGATTGAGCTGAAACAGTAAGAGCACGAGCACGTTATCAACATGATACACTCATGAAACAAAAGCAAATGTGATCCCAAGACGTAGCAAGCTTGGGAGTTATTTCCAGCGAGGACAGAGAGCGGGTAATGTCACTTACGAAGCAGGGGTAAGATCGAGCTAAGCTCGAGCCCTCTGCAGAGCTCTTCTCACCCACACTCGGGAGGGAAGAGCGCAGGCTGGAACAGGTGCAAGGAAGGCGGCCGGAATGATCAGAGGAGGAGAGAGGTTGCTGTGAGCGCACCAAAAGGATCCCGTCCTCTTTTAGAAAGCAGAAGGACAGATCAAGGGAGCTAGAGATCACTCCCTCTAAATACATAGAGTAGGTTAACATCAGGAAGGATGAAGACTTAGGTAAACTAATGAGCAGGGTTAACAGGACAACAGTTAGATATAATCACGAACAGCTTTGGGCTGGCATGAGGAGGGTTTTTGAACTTCAGAAGAGAAAGCTTCCATGGGGATTAGTGAGGGCTCAAAGCCTGCCTGGTGGAGCACATCAAGTTCACCTAAGACCTAATATGGTCCCCGCAGGCAGCAGGTGACAGGCCTCGATAACGCAGAGGGGCTCCTGTAACCCTGTGCTCTGCTCGTTGTGCCTGCGGGAGAAGGTTGCTGGGACCACTGTTCACTCAGTGCTGCTTCTCTGGCCCCAGTCCTGCCCTGTCTGGCTTGGAGGGCAGCACATGGTGTAAAGCTGAGAGCACCAGGTTGCCCATGAGGCCGTGGTATTAGATCCTGCATTTCTGGTTACTTTGTCCTGCCTGAACGAGCCCCAGCTTTTGGAAGAGGGGCCATTGGCCCTAGAGCATCCACCTGGAGTGACGGTCGCTCCAGCTGCGTCCAACATGGAAAATAGGGGTTAGCCTCCCAGCAAGCAGCAGCTTGCGGGGAATAGCACTGACATGATGCTGCATGCACTTGACAAATACAGACAACATCCATTGGAACTGTTTTCTTTTCTTTTTTTTTTTCTTTTTTTTTTTTTTTTTTTCCTTTACAGTTATTCAGTTTGGGTTTGTAACCTTGTTTGTTGCGTCCTTCCCCCTGGCTCCACTGTTTGCTTTGCTGAACAACATCATTGAAATACGTCTCGATGCAAAAAAATTTGTTACTGAGCTGAGGAGACCGGTAGCAGTCAGAGCAAAGGATATAGGTGAGTGCACCTTGCTGCTGTTACTCCGTGTTCATTTATTCCTAGACTGATGGCAGGATGCTATTATGCTGAGTTACTTTCATTAACAGGCAGGTATTTATAGGAGAAGTCAAAACCTTACACTGTGAACTCTCATAATTTAACAAGCCTTTACTTTTAAAGTGGAAAGAGCAGTACTTTAAATTCAGATTAATATTTTATTAAATAAACAATATCACTTTTCAAATCAAAATGATCAATGCAACAGTGAAATATGTTGCAAGGTCCTGCACATCAATAGCTCTTTCTGGCAAAGCAAGTGTCTTGCAGAAGCAAAAATTTCTGCATTTAATTATTCTGGGCAGAGCTGCAGAAGTGCACTTGGAAAGGAAGGAGAGGAACCCAGAATGTCTGTGGGTAAATGTGTTCCTTCCTGCTCAGCATGAAGGTCAACCTTGGGAGCTTGGAAGCTGCAGCACTCCTAACTGGGGCCAGACTCTGTGGCTGTTCACTGACAGCAACACAGTCCACCTCGTATTGCAATGTACACATGCAATGATGGAGCCACTCTTCCTAGCTCCTGGGCACTGGAGGTTAACTGGGCTATTGGTAAAAAGCCCCTCAATTATTTGTACCACAGAGGAAGTTGTCAAGAGCAAAGAAATTTACTAGGAGTTACCAAACTTGGTGTTACTACTTATACTATGAGCAGCAAGCAGTGTTTCTAAGCACTCATCCCAGCACTTTAGGGTTATCTGAGAACTGAAGAATGTACTATGGCACAAGCATAAGTGTTCCTAACATTGTTAACTGAAAATGTCTTTTATCTAGTTCTAATGACTGGAACAGCGTTTATATGTTTGTCTCCTTTCTTAGGAATCTGGTATAATATCCTCAGAGGTATAGGAAAGCTTGCAGTCATAATAAATGTAAGTAACTTTGCACGGATAAAGCTTTTAACACGTTAGTCCAGCTCTTCCATTCTCTTCAACAGGTCTTATTTCAACTTATACTCCTTAAATTGAGTGAAATCATGTAATGTAGAGTTTTTCTCAAATATTAGGGAATTGAATGCAGTGTTTGAAAGTTGTGATACGTTTTGCATATTGACGCATCTTGGAGAGAAAAAGGCAAAGTTAAATTCCCAGAATATCACAGACTATTAGCAGTCTGAGTAGTAGCAATAATACTCGGCACGCAGTAGCTGTTGCAGCTTTCTTCTAGAATTTTCATAAAGCAGTCTTGCTCTTTCAAAAATGAGACCACAGCCATCTACTTACATACTTTTTCTTCGTACCTTATTAATTATGGATATTATCATGAAGTTTTCTTAATTTTGGTGGCAAAATCTATTGCCACAGAAGATTTTTAGGGCCAGGTAGTCAGAGTATGAATCAGTTTGGCTCATCTCAGTACCATGTCCCTACATTGAAAATCTGGCCTCAAAAATGTTAGTGTCCACTGCCTATCCCTCAGCTTGGGAAATGGATGAAAATATTACTGCTTATTTCAACCTCAGCTACTAGGTAGTTACACCCCTTAATATCAATTTTCATCAGAACATCTTGATTCAACAGAAAGCCTTCATTTTGTGGCCATTTGTGAACTGATTATCCTTTACTTTTTTCTCTTATATTCATTAATGTATGTAGTTAGCTCATAACACCTCTGTTGGCATCTGGGGGCTGGATGAAGCCCTTCTTGCCAAGTGGGGAAATCCATTCACTTTGCCGGTTTGTGTCTGCTGTTCTATGGCTAAACCATTTGCAGATTGTAGTGTGCAACCCTATTTTTTTCCCCCTTCTTTTCCTTTAGAAATATTTTGTTTGTTTGTTTTCTTCTATGTAGTCTCTCTACGTCATTATTTGGGTGTTATTTTTCCCTCTTTGATCTATCTGCTGTCCCTCTATCATTAAAAAAAAAAAAAAAAAAAAGTAAAACATTTTGTACTGTGTTTGTTCTGCATTTACATAAGATTTATGCCAGTGAGAATGTTTCATAATAATAATAAATGAGAAGGGTCTATTGAATTGGCTGAAATGGGAATTTTATGGATGACATTTTTATAAAAAAATAAATTTTAAATAACCAAGTAACACCAAGTAATAGGAATATTTCTGTATCCATTAAAAAAAGGCTCAGTTTGCCCATCCTTTTATCTTGATGGAGTTAAACGCATAAAATAAATTCTTACTGCATTGCAAAAGTCCATTAAAAGAGTCAATTCTCTGCAAGTTGTCCACAGAACATGAAAACACATCTAAATGAATCAAACAGAGCTTATACAATCCATCAGGGACAAGTCGTAATTGGAAACAACACTCGGCTTGGCTTTCCTCTGATGTCGGGGGGCATGACAGGTTCATTTTGCAGAAGAGTTCGAGTTGTTATCCACATAGATATCTTGGCCAACATGAAACTGCTCCATTTAATATCCTTCTGCTCAAAAGGATTAGCAGTAAATATGTTTTTTTCCAGCAATTATTGCCCCATTTTTAGGGCTCCATGGGCTGCAGTCTCCCCCTTTAGTTTCTGAAGCCGCCCACCATACAGCAGCCCCTAATTCACAAGAGTTGTTTGGGCAAGACACAAAAACATGAATATCATTAAGTAAGCACTGTCTGAATACTGCGCTCATTTTTTACTCTTATGGCTTAGGCATTTGTGATCTCATTCACATCTGACTTCATTCCACGCCTCGTGTACCTGTATATGTACAGTGAGAATGGCACCATGCATGGCTTCGTGAACCATACTCTATCCTCTTTTAATGTCAGCGATTTTCAAGCAGGAACAGCTCCAAACGACCCTATGGATCTTGGCTACGAGGTCCAGATATGCAGGTATTCTTTCGAATGATAGCTGATTTTGAGTATTTCTACAGCTAAGAATGTGACAAATTTATTCCATTCCTGGGGTAAATCTAGGTCCCTTTTTTGTGTTTTCTGTACCTCCTAAGCACATTGGCAGCCTTTTATGTCATTGCCTTGAAGACTTTGCTTGCAGATAAAGCAACCACAATTGCTTTGTAAAGCTTGAACATCAAGTATTGCTTATTTTGGAGGTCAGCATTGTTGTGTTTGGTGTTTGCAGGGATTTTGCAAGGGTTTTGACTGTTGATTATTTTTATTTTGTGAGAAGAATTTTTTTTTTTTTTTGCCCAGTTTGCTAAGGAGAGACCTTATCATGCTCTATAACTGCCTGAAAAAAGGTTGTAGTGAGGTAGGGGCCCTTTTTTTTTTTCCCCCCCCAGAATAACTATAGATAGAACAAGAAGAAAGGGCCTCAAGTTGTGCCGGGGAGGTTCAGGTTAGATACTAGGAAGAATTTCTACAGTGAAAGAGTGGTCAAGCATTGAAGCAGGCTGCCCGGGAAAGTGGTGGAGTCACCATCCCTGGCAGCATTCAAGAAACATTTAGATGAGGCGCTTATAGTTTAGCTGGCAGAGTGGTGAGGGATTTACGGTTGGACTCAATCTTAAAAATCTTTTCTAACCATAACGATTTTATGATTCTGTAGTAATTACTAATGGTTTTAATGGCAGCTTTATCTGCTTTATCTGCACTGGAACTTAAGGCCCACTCAAAATTTTGTTTTACAGGAAATTTGCATGTGTATAACAAGTCCTACATGTTATTTTCATAGTTAAAGGAAAGTTGGTGTTGCATATTTCAGCTTATCGAATGATCTAGGTCAATGCTGAAATCTGTGCTTTGCTTAGGCTTCCTTAGATATGCATCATCTTCAAAACAAATGCTTTAAAGCTTATAATTGAGGACTAAAGCCAAAAGTAACAGTGAAAGCACTTAGAACAGAGAGACTGTAGGGAAAAAAGGGGATGAGAAAGAGAAGAGAGGAACAAAGAAGGCAAAGCCATTCCATGAGAGAAAAAAAATTGGTGTGTATGTGTACAGGAAAATTACAGTACAGAAATGACTTGGAGAAAATGCTTATATAATGTTTTTTTTTTTAATTTATGCTCTTTATAAATCAGAATAGAGCAAGTTAATCTTCTGAAATGACTGCTAAACAGAAGAATCAGTCTTATTCTGAGATGAAAGATAAAACCAACAAGAATTGCACAAATCTTAGCCTTTGCTCAGTTTTCCTCTTCACAATTTTCTTCTGGGGGTCTTTGAGGACATGGAGGACACAAACTGGGTTGGCAGAAATGTTTTTAGCACAAAACTTATGGAAGGAAAGCCCTAATGTCATGGTCCAATATACAATTGTTAGTTTTATATATTTGTAGTCCCAGTGTCCTTCTCCTTCCCATTCCATCATTTAGTTCATGTTTGAGAGATTTTTAAATGATATTTGAAAACATGGAGGCATAATTCATTCAAAACATTGACAGGATGCTGTGGTTTAAGTTTACTTTATTTTTCTTGGTCCACTTTCCAACAAGCTAATTAGCTCATAGATTTTCCATAAGCCACAGCAAAATTCTCTTCTTCTCTCTATGCAGCAGAATTTGGCCGCCTTCTTTTGCTGATCTTGAAAATATAGACCTCTACATAGATCTATACAGTTGATAGATCTGAGACCAGTATTTTCACCTTCAAATTTAGCCTGAAACCACTTTTTATGACTTTTGAAAGGGAATAAATCATCTAAATTTTGTTTATCCCCTCTTTATGCAGAGTTGATATTATCTGTACTAATCAGAGGGTATTAAGATTGAATTTTGTTTAAAGGAGAAAGGCTGTAGGAAGCTCTCTGCTTTGTCGTCTTTGTGTGGGGTTTGTACAGTTGTGCTGCAATAGCAGATTTGCTTTTAGACAGTTCGATTCACTGACTATTAAGTAGTAAATGCTCAGTATGCTAAAATTTCTAAGTGACATCATTGATTTACTGAGTCTTGTTTTGCAGATATAAAGATTACCGAGAACCACCTTGGTCTGAAAACAAGTATGACATTTCAAAGGATTTCTGGGCTGTCTTAGCAGCAAGATTAGCATTTGTGATAGTTTTCCAGGTATGTCATACAGCAGGTACTTGCTATAAAAAAGGTGTCTTGTGTCTTTCTGTAAGAAAGAGTTATCGAGTTTCTTCAGCTAAATAAGGCAGGCCACCTTTGGAAATAATTTATTAGGGCAAACAAAATATCTCCTTTCACAGCTGTTTCATGTAATAGCAAAGGAATTTGCCGATCCTTATTCACCCTCTTTCTTCCTCCCACCCAACCCCAGACGGGTAATCTCCAACGGGTAATTTCATCTGATCGGAACCGCTTTGATGCAGAGCAGTGTAATGACCTTAGTGCGCAGCAAAGCACAAGGCTGATACTAATTAGGTCCCACCAATTTCTCCACTAGGACATCAACATATTTGCTGAAGAAGTTTTAAATTTTACCCCAGGTTATTTCTAGATCTGGCCAAACTATGAAATTTATGAGGTTTCCAAATTTCTATCTTAATCTTGAATTTAAATGCAATGGCAAAATCTTGTATTTTTTCACTTTTTTTTCCATTGTTCAGCCATAACAGCTTTGTTGATTATTGTGATGTGGGGGTTTTAAGAGTTGGCCTTATTTAAACAACTTGTTTTAAAAGGGTTTTTTTTTTTTTTTGGCAAAAGAAAATGTATCTGACTGTGAAAGACTTCACTTTCCTTGAATTAAGATTTTAAATTAGAAGCATTTTAGTGAAAAGTTTTTTGTTACCCTCAGTCTTTTGCCTCTTGTTTGTTTCTGCCATGCTAATGTAAAACTCATGAGACATTTATCAATTTTAGTATTTCCTTCAGATTTCTAAATGACTTTGAGATTTGTACATAAATTAAAGATCTGTATCTGTCATTCTTCTGACCCTTCTAGTATTGACAGGAAGTTGAGGTAGATCTGGCTTAGGATCAGACTTGTGACGTGCATTTGAGCCCCTCTTAAATGTGGTCCTTCCTTCTAAAGTACTCTGAAAATAGCCCATTCCCTCATAGTCATCTTTTCATTTGACCTTGCTGACATTTTCTCACAATTTCATTTTCAGAACTTGGTCATGTTTATGAGTGACTTTGTTGACTGGATTATCCCAGACATTCCCAAGGACATTAGTCAGCAGATTCATAAAGAGAAAGTTCTCATGGTGGAGGTCTTCATGAGAGAAGAGCAAGGGAAGCTGCAAATGCTAGAAACGTGGAAAGATAAGGACACGAAAAAAGGTGAAAACTGTAACAGTCACAGCCCCAGACTCTCCAAGAGCCATAGTGGGAGCTTGTCCTCCTGCCACTCGTATCCTGTTGACGTATAGAAGAGCAGGGAGTTGAGCATCTTGGGGCATTCCACTGACGAACAGGCCATCATGGAAAAGACAGGACTTGGTTAATGATGGACAACCTGGTGCATGCTTAAGGATGTGCTGCAGTTTTGCGCCCCTCTTTGTGAGAAATGCTCTTCTTGCAAATATGGAGGACCACGTTCTATTTCAGATCTTTTATTTTTATTTTTTTCCTTTTGCACAAGCAGTAACGCAGGGAATTTTTATATTTCATTGTTAGATAACACTGTTGATGTTGGTGTGCATTAATAAATGCAGATACTTAGTACATTTTAATAGAGATATTCTCTGAGAATTTGACCTTAGCCTATTAAGTAAAAGGTAAATTTTAAGTAATAATACTACTAATAACATATTTTTGGAACCCCAGGCTTGAAGGTCTGGGGCGCAACTCTGCAAAGTATGTGCAAGACAGTTCTACAGTGTACCCTAGTATTCCCTTTGGCAGGAAGAGAGAAATGCTGTTAAGCTCACCAGGCTAATTCACTTTTGAAGATATGGTTTAGCTCTGCTGGCAGACTTCTGTATTTGAACCCACAGGTCCAAGACGAGCAAAGCTGCCATTGAGTCAGCTAAGGTGTAGGGAGAAGGAAATGTGTGGGGTGCTCAGAAACCTCAGAAGATTGCAACAAAATTGAATGCCTTTATCTTCACCCCAGTTCTGTGACCATGGAAAGCTGCTCGCTTACTGGAAAAGCTGTTTTTACCAACAAACAGCTAATGTGGATGAAACTACCCAAGTGCCCCAGCCCACATCATAGGCATTTGAGTGAGCCCCTTGAGATGTACGAGTAGCAATGTGGCAGCAGCCCAGTTCCTGAGGACCTCCCAGCAGGTAGACTCTCATAGCGCATTGTTAACTGCCCTGAGTTAATGAGCACATGCAGAGCTTCAGTGTCTCTCACTGCCCTGCCTAGAACTTGGACACTGTTGTTCCTAAGGAGTCACACATTTTTCCTCGCTATAGTAGCACATCCCTTCCTTAGCCAGGTTTTTCCCTATAGTCCTCTGTTTTCTGTGGGAGAAGGCAGTCTGCACCCATTCTTCTTGGCCAGTTGCCCCTTCAGACTTGTTCTGTTGCATGGCATCTCCCAGAAGCTATGCCAAAAGGGGTAAATCCAAAGATGTTGTCTTCAGTGGAAGTTTTGCCTGCATTGGGGCTACAGGACCAGACCTTCAGTTACAGGACTTTTATTTTGTCTTAAAATACTCTAGCTTTTGTACAAGAAAGTTCCTTAAAGTGTAAGTCTAAAGCTCTTAATTATGAAGCCTATCTAAATCTCATCAGTGCAACTCTTTTCATGTATCGTACATTTTAGTTTTGCTTTGTCAATGATAAACTGCACTTCTGAGTAATATTGGTGCAATTAATCTCATTTCTTTTATTGCTGTCTTGTCAATGGCACTTACATAACAAAGATAAAACTGAAGAATAAAATCTAAAGATGTTCTTTAAAGTCTAACTACTGTACGGTTTGTTGCAAAACCAAACGTCGAGACTGTTTTCAAGTAAAGCTTGTTTCTCTTCCATTTCTTTTTTCTTTGCCAAACTAATTTAAAGATTAATGCTAGAACCTTAAAAATGCCATATTTAGCTTTTTGCTATATTTATTTGTTTTAAAGTATGTGATGAATCTGATATTTTTTTGTTATCTGTCCAAAGAAGGCACCAGAGAAGAAATTATGTGGAAGAAAGATATTAACCAAATACTCTTGAAGCTAATTTAAAATGTTGATCCAACCAAAGATTTTTATTAATAAAGGGCTTATATTTTGCTAACTCTCGTTTCTGTTGTATTTTGACTTGCAGGAATGTCACTATTTTTAAAATTTATAACTTAGGATAGTTTAGTATTATAGGGCCAAATCCTGCCCAGTTTATTCACATGATGAGCATTATGCCTGGTAATAAATGTTTACAAGATCAGACCCCTTGACTGCAAAAGAACGGTGAATGTGAATAAATTAAGCAGAATTTTGTCCACAAATTCTGTTGGAAAAATATTATTCCTTTCATTCCTTTGTAGTCTGAAAGCTCTACAAGAAAGTCAAGTATGAACTACCTATTCTGAAGGCAAATATTAGGAAATTTCTGCTAAAGGAATTTCATCTGTAAATATTTATCTAAAAGTGTTCCCAGCTTAATACTGACATTCCTGTAAATAGTAAAACTATATACTGAACACATATGTATCAGAATTTTTTCTTTATTTGCTGAAATCATGAAATACTAACAGTTGCTTATATACTTTCTTTTGTACAGTAAAATGTTTGAAATGGAATTTTGTATATAAAAACTGTATTACTACTTAGATAACAGTAAGACTCTTTCATGGAATCATTTTTTAAGAAAAGTAAATATATACTAAATCTCTTCAATTGTTTTTTTTCTTTGAATATTTGTTGGAAATATACTTAAATATGCAAAGGCTTCATGAGACAGGTTCCATTTCCAGTGATTCTTGTGCTCCAATAATGCAAACGTGATTACTAGATCTGAGTTACAAACCTAATCATGTCACAGTTTGAATAAAACGGTTCCTTGATACCATTCACAGTGAACCTTATCTACTCAGATAGTAGAGGCCAAAACTGAGAGGTTGTGGGTGGGTATTTTTTGTTTTGTTTAGTTTTTTCTTGAATAATAGATAATACATTTGTAGGTATCTTCCTAGCTTAGAGTGCAAATCCAGCACTCTGGCTTCTTTAGACACCTGTTTTGGGACAAGATGAGCCCACATTAGATGTGCTCGTCTCTGTGGGAATTCTGTCCCAGGATCACAAATATGAAAACCTATTCCTAGACTACTCTCAGGATCTCTCAACTGTTTACTTTTAGGAGGTAGGTACAAGATATCCGGCAAAAGACTTCCCTCAGAGCATGAGTAATCACACCAAAGCCAGTTTTGTATTATGTGCTTGTTTTGTGATTTGTTATCCAAATAAAGGTAAGGCCTTAGTTTTATAGAAAAGATGTGTCATCAAGGTAAGTCAAACAAAATGTTGCCCATGTCAAACACACTGTTTGGTTCCACAACATTTCATCGTTGTGGATAACTTTTGTAGAAGCAGATCAATCACTGCCCATTTGGTAACTGGGTTATTTTTTATTAAAGTTATTAAAGTTTTTATTTTAGTTTAAAGGTTTTTATTAAAGACAAAATAATTCTCCAAAGGTAGGAGTTCATTAATTGTAAAAAAGTTTTCCATAAAGACATTTGCACTACTGTGATGCAATTTTGATCAAAGGGTTTTTTTTTTGTTGTTGTTGTTGTTGTTATTTTCTGCATTATTGATGAAAAGAGAAACAGGCTTTGCTCTATTACCAATCGAAAATTAAGGAACTATTATGCTAATACGGATTTAATGGAAGATGAGTAAAGCACAGTGGAAGTTAATTCAGAGAGGCAGAAATCTGGAGAGCCCAAGACTCCAAGCAATTGAAGAGACTTGGATATGACTCACAGATACCATATGGAGCAGCTTTTATGTCCAGAGTTTGAAAAAAGATAACAGCTTCTGTATTTCTGAACAACTTCCAACCTGTTCTTAGCATATGTCTCATTTTATATATATATATAAAATTTATTTATATATATATATATAATTTTCCGTCTGTCCTTTGAATTTTTTTAAAATATAAATCAAGAAAATTAGTGTACTAGCTTATTCAGTCAAGGAGCAGCTAAAGACAGAATAGTAGAATAGATTAAAGACGGAAATGGGACATGCTTAAATTACTGCTAAAACACACTGCTTGCTTCATGCTCTCCAACGCTGTGAAAAATTTCAATGGGTATTTTTGAGGAGGAAATCACACACACCCTATTGTGTTGACAGGACAAGCCTGAATCTTCTGGATTTCCATGTCATTGTGTTTCTAAGATACTGTATTACAAATATTTTGCAGTCTTAAATAGCTTAAGGGTGAATAAGTCCCAAGTCAAAGCAAAGATACGTTTCTATTTTTAACCCCTCAGTGCTCCCTGGTGCTGAATTGTTAATGATCTTTTTGACTCTTGTGATCTCCAATAATCAACAGAAACAATTCACTTTTCATCTTGTTACCTCTGAACTGTCTGGAAAATCTGAAGATCATTTGAGTTCATCTTAGTTTTCCTAAGAAGATTTCAAAGTAAACAATTCTTTCCTTTTGCCACTGAAGATGCACTATGTCTTAAAACTTAACTCTGGTTCAATTATTTTCCCATTTGAGTACTATTTATTCCATGACGAAGCACAATATGCCTTTTTTAGTACAGCAGAGAGGAAAAACGATGTTTTCTTTTTTCTTTCTTTCTTTTTTTCTGTTTAAGCTAAACTGGCCTTTCTGAGAAAAAAAACTATTGAAGTGGGTKYTTTTTTTTTTTTTTTTTTTAACTTAAACTCTTTCTTAATTTTTCATACCATGAGTGCAGCCTCATTCAAGGCCATCTCAAGCCAAAGAAAATATTTTTTTCATTTCTCTTTGACTTCAATCTTTGATTTCTCTTTGAGTTCAGAGACTCAATAAAGTCTCATGAAACTCTTGGGCATTGCTTATAAAACGATTGGTTCCAATTTCAATTAAAAAAAATAGCATTTGCTATGTGGTACTTTCATAACACTTCTTCCTATGCCAGCCATCTTTTCCACTCAAAAGGTATCTTTATTTCACTGACCCAGAAAGACACAATTACCCAAATAGTGCAATCTGGCATCATTTTGGTCATTGATGAAGCCTAAATTCTGGCGTACTGATTTTGATTTCAGTCTAACTGTCATCTTTTTTTTCTCCCTGAGACATGCTCTCTAAGCCCTCATAGGCACCAGTAGGCCTTTTTGTTTAGACTAATGCAATTATATTCTCTCTCATATGTCCGTCCAAGAGCATACTTATTTTTAACATGGATCAGAGGAATTTATAAACTCTCATACTGTTTCCAACATTGAAGTCAGTCTCCAGTTTATTACAGGCCTTTTAATTCTGTAGTAGCTAAGTGTCCATGGTTTAAAACCTCAAAGAAAGTATGCAAGTAAGTGGCTGTGAAGGAGAACAGGAGCGCTCTCACAGCAGGCACGTCCTTGGGGGCGCCTGCCTTTACCTAAGCATCTCACGTTTCTTAGTGTATTAATCTTCAATCATTAGTACCATCAGTAGGTAGAAAAGTATAATTACGCACAGGTAATTAACCATCGAGTGGCCAAGTAATAAATCTCAGCAGGCTGGAAAAAAAAAAAAAAGAATGCATCATGTTCTTTCTTCTGAGGGTAGGCAGATATTCCTGTAGTACATGTAGCTTTTCCTTACTTTTCACTGTACGCACAGTGGGCAAAAGATATAAACGCTGTGTTTTGTATTTTATTGATTCATTGGTCTCTGAATATCGCACTCCTTCCCGGACTTTTCATCTCTGGGAAGAAAGACAGCAAGTTTCCTTCATGTTTGTGTATGCAAATGAATTCCAAATTGTGGGTTAAGACTAATCTGTATCTGGGTCTGAATAAAGCACTAGGGACTAGCTCAAACTAAATTGTTTAGAAAGCAGAAAATAATACTTTCCCCCCCCCCCACCAAGGATCAAGGGAGGTGCATGAGGAAAGTAGATTTGCTTATTTATTATCTTTCAATTCCTATGAGTAACTAGCCTAGTCATATCCTGTATCACTTAATGTTTGCCTACAACAATCCATGTTTTAAAAGGAAATGACTTTCTCAGATTATAATGGTGCTGTGTTTGAGCAGACTGGGCACTCCTGCTCTAATCAGGTTTGAAAAAAAATTTACACCTTCTAATTTGAATAAAAAGTGAGATAGTGACTCACACTGGAAATAGCATAGCGGCACACTTGAAAGGAAAAAGCAAAGTCTCCTCAGCTTTCCTCTAATTAGTAAGTAGTTCATAGTAGTTCTGCTGCTACACATGCCTGAATTAACACCTGATTTTAAGAAATACATCTCCCTCTTGGTTTGTTGCTATCTATAGTCAATGAAGTAAGCGGACTGCACCTGAGTTTAACTCAAAAAAATGAAGAAGGCAAGTATGTGGCCACACTGTTTTAAAAAAAGAAACTATTAAAGAGGAATTTTAATAGCTCTGGAAGACATTTGGAGGATGAAATGTTTTCTGATCTGTGAATGGGCCATTATGCAAAATGGATGCATAAACCTGTTCAGAGGAGTATTTTATTTTTACAGTTTCCCCAGTAAAAGTGCAGAGTAGCAATGACCAGGCCCAAAAGAGAGTCCGATAATTCTAGAGATAAGAGAAGGAATATTCACAGGCAAAAATGCCTGACATTACATTTTCAAAGGTGGATGCAATATAGCAGCCACCTGAGTGCTATCGTACTCCGTGAGGATAAGGGCAGGATTGTGGAAGATGAAGTTCCAGGGTATGGGACTTTTGCACACCTTTATAAGAAGCAATTCCCAGTGGTGCAAACTAAGCGCAAAATTGATCTGTTTAGTGCAAAATAATTAATTGTAGGATATACTGACTGTTTTCAAAGCTGCTCAGAATGCTTTATTTTACAATGCAAAGAAGGAGACAAATAATGTTTTCTACTATTCATTAAAACAAATCTTATGTGGTAAGTATCTGCCTTTTCTTATTTTTATTGGGCTTGAGACTGGAAATACAACAGTTCAAGAAAAGTGAGAGCA